GATACGTGATAACTAGAGGAGTAATTTCAAAGGGATTACATACTTCTTTTCATATCCCATATGATCTTGCTTCCCATTAATTACGGTTTGGGTTTTTTAACATGTTTTCTTCCAGGTATAGAATGTCAAGCCAACCAAGCATCAGCAACTTCAGAAGAATGTACAGTAGCATGGGGTGTGTGTAACGTAAGTAGCCTCTTGGACTCTTGATAGTATTGATAGTAAGGACAAACCCAAACTGTCAATTATATTCTTTGGGGTTTGGTGTAGGTACCACAGGGTAAAAACAGCAGGGACACGCTTCAAATATACATTTGTGTCTTCTTATATTTTCAACTTTAGATGTACCTAATAAGCAATATATTTCCTTGTGAGTTTACTTAGATATTTAAAGAATTCAAATCATTTTTTTGTTGTCTGTACTAAATATACATAATCTACGGGTACACTTTGGATATGGTTGTATCTCATGAATACACTTGGTTGAATCTTTTTTCTCAACAGAACAACCTGTATTTATTTATTTCGTCTGCCAGGCCATGTTCAAGTTGACTTCCAGCTCATTTGGCGGCCATTTTGGATTTGACCAAAATGGCGACCACAGGGGCACCCTTCTTGACATCAAATTAATGAAATAACATCAGAATCAGATTCTCTATACTTGTATTAAAACGTTATACTTCAAGAAAATCTCATTATTCTAGCACCTTTTGTTTGAAAATATAATTGACTTCCAGCTCATCTAGCGGCCATTTTAGATTTAACCAAAATGGTGTATGATCTGATGGTCAACATCTGGGCCAAATTGGATTCTTTTAGAAGAATCTGCACCAAACTGCCCCTATATTGCCCCAACACCCCTAACTAATATGCCTTATAGATGATTCTGCTATTTTTCTTCTTTCCAGCATGCCTTCCATTTTCACTGCATATCAAGATGGTTGAAGACCAGACAAGTGTGTCCGTTAGACAACAGAGAGTGGGAATTTCAAAAGTAAGTTAATACAGTGTTGCTACTTCCTTTAACTCATAGCATGCCATGAGGCTGCATGCACGCTACCGTTTTAGTGCTTTGTACATGCAAGCTAACCATTGATTTACTGCCATATATGCAAGGGCATATATGCCCTTGTCTTGTCTGTCTTGTTACTCTCACTCTTTGTCTCCCCTCCCTCTCTTTCTCTCTCTCTCCTCTCTCTCTCTCTCTCCTCTCTCTCTCTCTCTCCTCTCCTCTCTCTCTATCTCTCTTTCTCTCCCTATCTCTCTCCCACCCTCACCCTCTCTCTCCCTTTTCTCACTCTCCTTCTTTCTCTCTCTCCTTCTTTCTCTCTTTCTCTATCTCTCTCTCTATTTCTCTGATATAACTTCCTAAATAAAAGGATGACATGTAAATCCATTTTTGAATAATAGAATTTTACTTTTTTTTAACTAAATCAGATTTAATTGTATAAAATCCTGTTTGACTTTTTAACGATTCCCAAGATGATACACATTATATCGAATATTACAATGGCAACCTTTTACCCATGTTTGTATGCGAAACTTATCTTATCATATTTTTATGCAATATTCTACATGTACCTTTTACTAAATTGGCCCAAATATAAAATGTTCTGCATTTTACCTACAATGTATAATTTGTATAATCTGTTTAAATCATTGGAGCATTTATTTGACTTTATAATTCCTGGATTTGGTTTCTGTTGTTTTCCCTGTTATTGAAGAAAACACCATAACTATACCTTACCCATCTGGCTATGCATTTTCCAACCAAAACATTTAATTCTTTTGAATATCAAAAATGTATTGCTATTCATGTATTGTATAAGTTTAATATATCATTTTATTGCAAATATGGTAATATAATTCGAATTTCTGTATATGTACCAAGCAATTTGCCAAGGTCGTTGAAGCATAATTATATATCATTTGTACAAAAGAATTCCAATTTTACTACCATAATGCTACCATGCATAATGTTTTACGTGTAATTTTACTTTGTCACTGATGCATACCTTGTAAAAGAAACTGCAATTCGGCTCTCGGGCCGCGAATGTTTTTTGATGAATAAACCATTTAAAATAAATAAATAAAGGGCGCATTCGTAATAGCAGTTATTGTTCATGCATAATGGACTGTGCTGTGTGTTTTGCACACGCTATTCATAGAACCATCGTGTTAATCAGATTATCTCCAAAACAACCTGACACGGGGGGGGGGGGGGATTTGGGGCTTGGAACAATGAGGATTAGCTCTGTGGCATAATAAGAGTTAAATCAAAATATTTATTCATGCCATTATATAAGTATACGTTGGAATTTTGGGGAAAAACAGTAGACAAGCAAGCCTATCTTCAGTATGATGATGAAAATACATTATATTTACTTTCGGTCAATAACAGGAGAATCTTTTTGAGAGTTTGTCATACCTTTATTTATCAAAATCGGTTTACTCAACATGAATTTCAGCTTGTAGTTATTATGAATTAATCCTGTTAGTCCATTTTATTAAAACAATAAAACAAAAGTGAAGACATTGTACTTCTTAGGAATAGTGGATTAAAAAGTACCCATTTATGTTTTACAGTAGGGAATGGGTGAAAATCTTCGTTATTTGCCTTCGTAAAAATTGCCACTTATTGTTACTCTGTTGATATAGAAATTTGTTATTGTTATTGTTATTGTTGATGTAGAAATAGGAATAAGCGAGAGAGAACTTCCTAACCACAGTTGTCACATTCCTTTCTTTTCTCTTCACATTTTTTTATACTACAGGTATGGACGCTGATGATCACAATGTCCTATTTCTCAACGCTTCTTGGTCGTTATGTTTACATCAGGATATCTAGTCCCATCATCTGTCATCTCTTTTTGTACAGTTGTAAATATGGTCCTGAAAGTAACATGGATAAGGAATGGAGCTTAGTGTAAAAAGCTTACAAATTTCAACAACAACAAAATCAGTTTGGTAACCTATATTTGTCAGTACCGGTAGTAAGATATAAAAGAAGGTTCCAAATAACAGTAGCCAATTTCTCATTTTCCTTGTTTCTTCTTAAATGTGTCATGCTTATCTGATGGATTTCACAACAGGAATGATGGATGAATGAGGTTCAGTCATTATGTGACAGAGGCAGAGTATTTTACAGTAGGGAATGAGTGAAAATCAAGCATGTCACTTTGTACGCATTGTTGAATAACGTGATTTAAGGGTGTATTTAAATTTGTCAGATGCAGTTGAGATAGTTATATATTTTAAAAGCATTAACAAAAGATATTTTCAGGATATTGAACATGGGGTAATGGGTTTTCATATACCAATCGATAAGAGTTTCACTATTGATGTTAACCAAGTCTGAATTTAGCTTTAAATTTATGTCAAGTTAATTTCAATTTACACTACACGTATGTTTACTTTTTCAAGTCAGTTTTTTTTGCTTGCAACTACTTCCCCCCCCCCCCCCCACATATTTACCAATTCACAGTAAAAGCTCACATTACTGAATATACAGGTCCATTGCTTTTAATTAATTTGAATTCTGTGCCTGCTTCTGCAGTATATAATATTGGTACTGGCATTTCAATCTGCAAAGGCATATCTTCTACATGTACAAAAGAAGCATCCATGAATCAGAACTAGTTGCATATGTTATGGTCTGTTTACATCTAAATCTTTACTTTTATGTTTTTTGTACATGATTTGACATTATATACCAGTTGAATTGAGTAAGACATGTCCACATACATTATTTATTATAAGATGTAGGCCCGAATTCACAAAGGAGGTTTGTTGACAAACCTAGGTTTATGTGCGTTTTGATGCATTTTTACAAACCTTGGTCTGTAATAACGCGTCGAAATGCATCATATGACGCACATAAACCCTAGGTTTGTCGACAAACCTCCTTTGTGAATTCGGGCCATTGGGTCTAAACTCTGAATTTTTAATGTGTAAAGGAATTGTAAAATGTAATTACTTTGTTCCAGTTACATTACTTTTACTTAATGTTAAGGAAAATTACGAGACATCTTTAGAAAGTTCAGTCACCTTTCTAGTAAGGGTTTTTGGCAATGCTAACTGATCTTTGCGAAAACTTGTTGTCTGTGTACATGTGCAGCTATTTGCTCAACTCCCAATGACTTTGATTAGATTAGTGTTCAGACTAAATTTCATAAAGTATCCTAGCAAGAGCACACTTTTAATAATCAAGGAACACATGTTATAAACCATCTTTTTTCTTCTTTTCATTTGCTTTATAGAAAAAACATTCAATACAGTATATGTGCATTATTTGTATGCGATGTCAAATAAAGTTGCCTGTATTTTGTTTGTATTATTACACAAAGACTTAATGTATTCCATGCGTTGCATATATTGAATGGTTCTGCGTGTTACAAGCTGAAATGGGTCTGTTTATTATTTTGCTTCAATTTTTTTTTTTAATGGGGGGGGGGGGGGGAATAAAATATTGCAATGTCTTAGCAGGGAACCACTACTCCCTTGACAAAAGATCTGTACTCTCAAGTTTCACTATGGCTTTATGATGTTAGTGATTAAAAAGGTAAAGATTGGAGGAATTTGATTTTCTTGTTTTGTTTTTATAATCTGATCACAAAGGAATGTGTTTCATAGCCAAATGAGAATAAATCTAAGATTTTTTTTAGATCCAAGGTTGAGACAATGGGCATAGGAGATATACAAGCTCCTACATTCAGGACATGAATTCCAGATTCATTTCTTCATGGTCAATTTTTGAGGGAAACTCGAGTTAGCACAAAAAAAGCTTCGGAGATATTCTATTGTTTAAACTGAAAACACTTGTAAATTAAGACATGATGGCCAATGATGGTGCTGGTGGCAGTGATGATTGTGAAGTTGTAAGTTTGTTATCATTTTACTGGCCTAAACAATTTCCATACTGCATCAAAACAGAAAACTCATAATTGGCATTAAATAAAGGTGCCTTCATACACTCTAAATGACACAACATCAAACATCACTTCAATATCAAATTGATAGTTTTATTGACAAGGTTCTAGAGTATATTGAAACAACATCTTTCTTGAAAAGAAAATGTACAACAGATGATTCATGATTTCAATATATGTATTCAAGATAGAAATAAACTTAGAAAATAGAAAGTCAACTTTGTAGATGTTCAAGCTTCACTTGTACATATGCATAAGAGTACAATTGTAAGGTTCCCAGAAAATAACAGATAGCTGAAAGAATATTGCGTATTGTTGGGATAAAGTTAAAAATGTGTTGAGAACAATTTTTTCCAAGCTTGTATGTTTTTACAAACAAGGAAATGCCACCATTTACATAGTAACTTTAAACTTTTCCTACTTCTGACATCAAAATATGCAATTCTGTAATTATGAAAGTTTCTAAAATGACAAAGCTTGATTCAAGGAGAATGTCCGTATTAAAAGGTAAACACAATATAATAATAGAAATAGAGTGCATCCCCCTTTTTTCACAAAATAAATGCCATTTATTCATTTTTATACAGCAACAAATGCAATCTTCGAAATTCTATATAATATTCCTGAGCATGCTCAATGAGATTTATTATTAAATACTTAATGGCACTGCCTAAATTATTTTGATGAACTACTTGTCCACATCTTTGATACATTTCAAAATGTTACATAACATTGCTGTGAGATGTTACCATTGATATATTACTTACATATTTTGATTTTTGTATTATAATGTAAATATCTGATTACTTTGTAAAAACAGACAATATCAGCCTGTTGCTTTTAATAAACCGATTCATTTCAATTCAATATAGTTAGTAAAAATATGGCAATTAATGATACCAGCATGAACATAATATTCATCCATAACATTTAAACAGATTTCCTTGTTATATAGTATGCTGAGAAACAAGTTCTTGCATCTGTAATGATGGTAAACATCATGACAAAAGACTTGCTTAGGCTGGAATCGGTATATTGAAACATTTTTTGCCTGTATGACATTTCTTCCTGTTAACCGCAATGTATAATGATGAATCGGTAACCTGCATGATGCCTCTTGAAAGTAAGTCAAAATTATTACTATATGTGAATTGGGTAATTTCAAGCCTTGTGGCATATGCTAACAGATTATCAAGGCCAATGCTTCATGGTAAAAAGCTACCGTAATCATTTTGTACATGTAGACTGAATTTTTTTTAATGGAAAGCTACATTCATACAACTACGTAAAACTGTTTTATGTACAGCTAGAATGTTAGAAAGTCCATTGAGTCATTTCACTGAAGGTATGCAATAGGTACTGAAAGATGCTCAAAGAGTCGAAAGAGGAATGTAAGCAATATTTGAAAGAGTTCTCAACAAGAACTTTTTTCTTGTCCTTTTATTGGAGCATACTGAGCACTATGAACAGGAACGGTCAGCTACATATAAATTGAATTATGATATACAAAATGAACCTATTAGAACCTCCCAAACTCCTGTACATGTATTTATAGGATCATTTTGGAGGAGAAGAAGTATCAGTCGACAGAGAAGTACCCTAATATCTTTAAAGAAGAGAAGGAGTGCAAAATAACCAAGGCCTATCTGGACACATTTTTTTTGGGAAAAAAAACCCTTGTCAGTGTAGGTAATCAATATAAATGTACTATACACAGGAAGGGTTGAGATGTTGGTATGTACATGTAATTCACCCGCTAAATAATCTTCAAAAGTATGAAGAAGCTAGAAAACCAAAAATGAACATTGGTTTCATAATTGCACAATTGTTTATTCATTTGATTATAGACAGTAATTTTCTAGGATACAGAGTTTGGCGCTCCATAAATCAGTGGGACGCCTGGGTCTTAACGTGAACTTCAGTTTGTAGGTCTTTATGAATAGCAGCCTATTTAGTTAACCCACTGCCTATGGAAGTGGGTAGTTTCTGTATTAAACATATGTGGAATACGATAATTCAGTAGTCAATGGATAAACAGTCTGCATATTTTCTACGAGACAGAGAAATGGGCTCTGGTGTATAAAACTTCACAAATCTCAAGCACTGTCAACAAGCGCTAAAACTACATGCACATCAAACTCTTTTGAAAGCCAGTACTGAATTTGCTGCTGGTAATAAAATGGATAAATCTGTTAGTGATTTTGTGTTTGAAATGAATACTCTAGATATGTTTAATCTTTCTCTTTGATTGACATGAACAGTTGAGTTGTATGACATACATCTAACTTTACACACACTCTTTCCACTTGACAAAACACATGAAGTACTTTTGAGACAGTCAAACTTTTCCTCAACAAATGCATAAAATAATGAATTCTGGCAACATGTACAACTACATGTATACAAATGCTGAAATAAGTTTCATTAACATGATTACATACATCCTTCACTTTTATTTTACTCCAATGAATTCATATTTGGTCCATAGAGAACTTGCTCATATAGGCAAAACTAAATGTTCTAAATGCAAGTCAAGAAAGATGCATTCTTGATACACAATTGGTCACCACATAAAAGGATGAAATATAAGTCACAGCATTGACAGAGTCACTCTGATGATAATCCTTATTCCTATAAAATGTTAATATTTGTGTTGCCCCTTATTGCTTTTCAATGCTCTGTATAGTATATGTAACATGTAATCACGGTCATTGATGTTCATTACTCTTTTAATGACTATTGCACTAGTCATATTCATGCATGATGTATGACTAATTGCATACCGCTCTCCAACCAGCCCTCTGCTCATCAAGAGACAGGGTTCAATTTCAAAGAAAATACATGAACCCGGTATACAATTATTACAAAGACAAGAAAAAAGTTGTGTCAGCCTGACTCAGACTGTTGAATAAGAAAAGCATTGGTTAGATTGGGATGTCGTACCATGGTGATTGCTCAGGACTCAGTCACAGCAGTAAGTAGAAGCTAATTGAAGCCTTGCAGGAGCTTAAACAATGTGTAACAGCAGGTATTGCCACTTATTTTAAAAGAATATTTTTGAAAAATTAACTCAAAGGTCATGCTAATAGAATAGCATACTCTAGTCCTAAGGCCCTATCACATTTGTAGGTGGAACAAATGAGCCCACTACATTTTAAAATCAAACAGGACAATACTTGAAGTTTTTGATACCCTGCGGTTACAGGCATGTAGCAATCTGATGAAACTCTAAAATGATTTTATTGGACAAGAAATTATAAACCAGCATTTGGCTACGTGTATGTATTCTTACGGTCTCATTTTACAATGGAACACGCAAAATCACAACTAGAATGATAATTCAAGCATGTGAATACATTGAGAAATGAATGCATCATGGGGGGGGGGGGTGTAACAATCAATTACAAAATTACACCCAGAATATCATGATTAAAATGAATACCACTACATGATGTGTCATAAAAAAATTGAAAGCATATAGTCACATGCCTCTGTGCACATATACATGTATGCAGTAAAAATCAAGAGATATATCTGTCACTACCTATGCCACTATGAGTGGCATGTCCGTCATTGCTTATCATTGCTTATGAGCTCAGTCTGCTCAATTTCCTAAGCATATCTTATCACTTATCTCCATACTTGTTATTGCCAGCCTGGCATCATGACATGCCTGTGTAATTGTTATGAAGAATGGCATTATCATTCTTCATCAGCAAACCAACGACCTTCTTCTCAAATTTGTCGCGTACACTTCCAAACTCCATCACGCTCTTAGGTTTCTCAGCAAACCAGAAGCGATCAAATTCAGTGAACACTTGACCTGTATATAATAGAGAAAACAATTGAGTCAATATCAACACTTTTAATAAACCACATCCTAATATTATCTTGTCATTTGGATAAACAGTAATTCATTACAAGTGTCATTTTGCTTCTGAATTGACAAAATATATAAATCTGAAAGGAAAGTGTCAATATGAACGCTTAGATCCTGATTATCAATAGTACAAATCGTTTGTGTTTCGAAAACAACTGTCTAGAACTGATCATAATTAATCATGCAATTCTAATCATTCAGATTAACCACCATATACTGAAGATGAACATCTCCTTGAAGTGAGGGGTATGACGATGTGACACCTTTCTTCAATCAATGTATATTTTGAGCCTTGTCTGGAAATAAAAAATCTGAGGACATTTTTTCCCTTGAACAATTTGTTCAAGATACAAAGTGTCCCCATGCTCTAACAGTAAATCTTAAAAATCTATGGACGTGTTTGTATTATCAGTCAACTTTATATAAATTTGGTCCAATATAAACATTTCCTTTATGATTTTCTAGGAGCAACACCCCTCTTTGAATATCAGAAATGGAGAAGGTTGCTTAAAATACATCCCACGGATTCTCCTGTGATCTTATAGTAGAAATAATCCCTGTGTGGTCCATTCAGCAAAATTTAGTCCTACATCACTCCCACCCCCCTTAATGTTTAGCCACATATATGATATGAGGTGAATGATACTTACAATATATCCTATGAAAATGGTATATAGCTGGTTCTCCTGTAATGGTATAGTAGAAATGTTCCCTGAGCAGTCCATCTTTGAGTAGATCGTACACCAGACTGGTCAAGTTGATACCGACTATAGCATACGAGTACCTGATCATACAGAGATAGAAATACAAATTCATTATCATGGGAGTGTCGTGGTCGAGTGGTTTAAGGCGCTTGACTGGAGATGCGAAGGTCGAGGGTTTGAATCCCGATACGGCACTAATATCCTTTGGCAAGATATTAACCTGCACTTGCTACTCTCAACCCAGGTGTCAAATGAGTAACTGGTAGGATGTGGCCGTCATTGTTAGTCAAACAGGGAGTGGAGATTGTGCACACAGTGTGTGCGGGCAAGCACTGAATCCAATGACCGGGGTAATAGTACATTTGTAAAGCGCTTAGAGACATTTGTATTAAGAGCTATATAAAAATTAAATATTATTATTATTACTTACAGGCATAATCAACTGTAATTATGTGCAAGTAAAACTAACACATACATGTTTGACAGAGCCCCACATAAAGGAATGCAGTAATGTGCATTTCATCATCTCATCTTTTATAATTGTTTTGAGGGAGAGGCGAGAATACAAAATGTAGTAATACTGTTGAGTGTTGTAATCTTACCATAGCGTAGGATGCTGTGAGTGAATCATTGTTTGTCTTGCTTCTCCATTGTAGTTCTCAGCAAAAAACCTGCACATGCAAGGATACAATCAAATACATGTTTGGAATTATCTTACACTTTTTACAACTCTTACAAGTTGGACAATTTGAAGCAAATGGGTATCAGTATGAGTATGAGAGAGACAGGATACCAGTAAATATATTTGAGAGCTGTCAATGTAATCGTTTTTAATGACATCATTAAGCATGAATAAATAAAAGATACAAAAAATGTATCACAGGATTTGAAAGCATACAGTTCATGATAGTGATTTCAGGAGTTTTTTCAACAAGCTTGCAGGATGACAACTTCCCCCCCAAGCATGGATACCTTAAAGAGATGGTTCATTGAAATGTGGAAAATGGGCAAATTACACCTCTACAGATTGCTGAGAACATTAACGAAATGAGCAAAGTACTTTTGAAGCCCTCACTGTTGTGAGGAATAAATTAAATGCAATTGTGTTACCCTTTCCTGAACCCACTCACTAAGTGAATTGACGGCGTTATTTTACATGCGAAACGATGACGTCACAATATGAACAACCTACATCACACATTCGGGACAATGTTGGATACCCATTGCAATTTTCAGATATGGGTTAACGTTGTTTGTATATTTACCGCCAGTGGTGATATTTCTTTTTTTTTGGCACTTTGAATGAGATACACTGAATAAATGATACTTTCTACAAATGAACTTTGTTTGATTTTTATATATTTTTCCGTCACATTTGAGCATAAAAATCGGGAAAATAATCACATTCTGAGGGCACTTCAGCGTGTATGTGTCTGATCTGGGAAGGCAAAGGACATTTTGCAAGCTGACCTAACGACTCTTTTGGAGTAAAATAGGCGATAAATTTACATAGAATTGTCCAGATATTTATTACAAAAATGTGTGATTAGGCTGATTAATTTACATTTTTGATCAATTAAGTCGTATAGGACCTGATAAAGTGAGAGAAACAGATCAGTCCGGTTCGCGATTCACGGCTAGCTCGAGCGCCGGGCTACGGGCTAGGCTGGCTAGCAAGCTGCGCTAGATGTCATGCACGCATAGAGGTCAGTGTATTGCACACATAGTACATGCACAGAGTAGGCCTACGCACGCACAGCTACCAGCTATGGGAAACTTGAACGCTACATCGACGATATATTCACTCGCTTTTTGGAAGTTATATACCATTTATCTAGACTAACGTCAGATTAAGAACCAAAACCATGCCATGGAGGAGCCTTCTGGAGTATACTCGAGTATGTTTTCGTCCATATCCATATTTCCAGGGGATTTTGATGAAGGATTTTGGGTACGGTACTCAAGAGTCAATGCAATACATGTGTATCGCACGCAAACTGCATCTCGCACCGTCGTCAATCATTTCAGCTGAGCGGCCCGCTGTTCATATTGTGACGTCACTTCAAAAATCAGCTGACTTACGATGTTTTGGGGGCGTTGAGTGGGTTGATTTTTCGTCAAGTTCAATCCACTTTTATAAATTTCGCTCGAATGTACAAGTTACACAAATGTAATGATTTTACTCAGTGTAATTTTTCGATTGCAATGATACCAAATTCAGTCAAGTTTGAAATCAATAAACCATCTCTTTAATAGAGCCCCACTGCACTACTTATAGCTACTTGCGCCCTCTATATAGCAAACAATGTCTAATCAGTGACCAATCTGTACACAAGTTGTAATCTAATCATCGAGGAAACCACATGACTCAATGTTTCCTCCTTCCTTCCTCTTAAGGAAGATTGCTCACATGCTATATGCTTCTTCTAGCTCAACAAACATGGCAGTCAATTGTTTAAACAAACGTAAGAGGTACATTTAAAGTATTTGTACCACGAAATATTCCTGAAGTAGAGATGTAAGTGAAAAATTGAAAATAAAGAGAACATTTTGTGACACTTACACTAAGTTGTCCAGTCCAAGGATTCCTTTAATATGATAAGGGAGAGAAAGAAGCATGAATAGGAAAATTCCACTTAGGCATCATACCCTAAACATTAGATGACATTGACACTAATGACCTGTTAACCTCAAATTTATGACAGTGATGTGTGCCAGGGAGAAGGGTATACACATGAATTCTAGTCAAACTCTTCAATTATCTTGGCTTTGAAGGGTAAACAAAAGAAAAAAAGATATGTAATCACAGAGAGGACATAACCATGAGTATCCGTTACATCTGAAGTTTGTTTACCATTATTTAAAGTGAAATATTCAAACTCCCAATATCTCTTCATATAAGTACTATTTCAAGTTGATATTTAATCATATCACCATAGAACCAAACATATACCGATAAAAACATTTCTCAGTGACTGGTCTCTTTAAACTAAAATATCTTACATGCTGAATAATACTTACCCATCCCTCTGAAGTCTGTTGCTGGGTCATCGCCTTGGAAACCGAGTTCTCCCCATTGCTTTGTGATGCGTTGATCCAATTTGGTGTTTGGCATCATCAGATCCCACAACTACAAAAAATCAAATGACATAGTATATGAATTTGTGTTGGCAAGGGCTACAATATTCAATGAAGTTTGATTTAACCAATCATCCTCATTTGGAGTCAGCACACTTCTGTTTGCAAGCATCTGTATGTGTACTAACAGTAAGAGCCATGACGTTTGCCTCTGATCAGTCCCTCTCTGTGAATGTGTCATACAGCATGTCATAGCTCAGTAGATGGTCCAGGGACCCTAGCTGCCAGCACTCAACGTTTGTTGCAATGTCATTTCACCTTGTAAAATCTTGATGGAGAGATGCTTACGAGGGGAACCATTCAGATGCTAATTTTGTTTAAAGATAAAAACCAGTTATGGTCATGTGATTGTATTGTGAAAGAAACGTTATGGAATCGATCAGAAAAGGTTGATCATCTAGCATATAAGTATTGGTGTGTACTGCAAGGTTCTGGAATCATCAAAATGATAAGAAATGTATATGGGACTACGCACACATGCGCGGCACGTGCGTTTATCTCTCACATACCAATAGATAAACTAATTTACCAAATATATCAATGAGTAGGCGGTTTCCCGGCAAAAATTTTATCATCATGTATTAGTCAAAACATATTCTTTCACATGATTGGTAATAAGAGCTTCCATTTAATTTTTTTTAAATTGGGGCATTTCCAATACTGGTCTTTACCTTTAATCAATCAGATTTTCCTTAAACTTTCACTGATCTTAATTTCCACCTTTGTCAAAAAAAAAAAAAGAAGCATTTTCATTGGGGTGGACATGCATCCCCTTACCTTTTGCAGGGACTTTTCATGGCTCTGGTTGGCAGAGGAGTACTTCTCTTTCTTTAGAGCCTCAATATCTCTCACTAGAGAACTGTATCCACTGATCTGTCTCAATGATGCCTTCAGAGTTGATGAGAATCTGAGATGAGAAGAGCATGAAAGGAGCCTTGATTATTCCATTCTGTACTCAATATGGGTAGTTCTCTCTCTGGGCCAACAAACTTGATAAACACGATAGTTCATTGACATGCTATGGTCATCATTCAATAATTATTTATACAGGTCCTGTCCCCTATCATCCCCCCCTCCCCACCTTTATACTTTTGAAACACTACGTTCATGTTTTTTTTTTTGTAAGCCACAAATATGTTTAAATAATTGAAATTTCTTCCTGAAAACTTTACATTTATAAAAGTTATTGTCCTATGGTGGACTAATGAATATTAATAAGTCAGAATGAATCAGGAGAGCTTGGGTAATTGTTTCTAGTTCATCGTGACTGTGCCATGGACCAGTGACGGCCTGGTGGTAGAGTCGCTGCCCGGCAAGCAGTAGATGCAGGTTCAAGTTCCACTGGTTCCAAGATTTTTTCTGACTTGTTTTTTAATACAGATAGATCAATCGATCATATTTACTGGGTGTAAGCCACAAATATGTTAAAATACATTCATGTTGATAAACACCAACAGATGTCTGCTCTCTCTTGAACCCTGATGAACACCCCAGTATGGTACACGTACAACAATACTCTGTAAAGAGGGATGTACTCAAATGGAAGAAGAAGAAGACCCCATCCCCTTCTCTCTTTTTATCTATTTCTCTTTCTCTCTGGCAACAAATCAATTGTTCTTGTCTTTAGTTTATCTGTATAGAGGGTTAAGTACCGTATAGCATTTGATCCGAGATTAGGGTGGGCATTTAGTGTACGAAATTGACCATTGCATTTGTTGCTGGAGGCCTGGAGCATGTGCCTATCTGTCTCTCTCTACCTCTCTACTTTTATGGCACAAATGCTACTGTAAACTTCAGCTTTAACCGGCTCTTGGTCTGACTTAAACAACTGGCACTGGGTCTCCAGTCTAAGTTCTATTGTATAGGTCGATTTTAACAAAAGCAATTAAACATAGGTCTCGTTTGCATTTCTACTAAATGCGAATGAGTCAGACTTCCCAGTTTCAAAAATTTCTTTTTTTTTCCTTTTTGATGCCATTGAATTTTTTTGTATGGGGGGGGGGGGGGGGGGGGGGGACATGGGGGGGGGGGGGGGGGGGGGGGATCCCCTCGGGAGCCATTATATGAGAATTATTTCTTTTGCGGGGGGGGGGGGGATTGGGGGATCTTGCATTCAGTTACTACCTGTACATGCGCTTTGAAACTTTTATTGATTTTTTTTTGGTGGGAGGGGGCTTGGGGTCTAATTTTCTTTTGTCGAAAGCTAGTTTAGACCTAGCCTTTAGACAAGGCCTCGTGTCTGACAATGATATTTATATTTGACGCCGAGCGACTAAAAGGAGACTAATCGCGAAACCCAAATGAACGAGAGCGCGTGGCGTCAGCCAGGAGGCCTTTAATAATCTGTTTTGGATTTTTATGTTAAACTTTAATTACGACTGGAGTTCTCTACCGAAGTGGAAGCGTCCAATCAGCGAACAAAAGCCAGAATCCAAACGCCACTCGATTGAGCGTTCACCCACCGTTTCTAGATCTCTCCTTAACGCTGGGCTAGACTTATCTCAGCCGGAAATAGCCGGAGTCACGAGGCCTTGTCAAAAGGCTATTTTAGACAAGGTGTCAGGTTTAGCTGAATTAGTAAAATATGTGCCATTATCTCCGTTCACACACAAAAAAGCAGACATTATACTGCCTGCCACTCTGAGTATTCACTCTGGGAAGATCTGAGGACTGACGTTTTGACTAACATAGTATACGCGACAGCACAAAATGTTTGCCATCCCTCCCCCCCCCCCCCCCCCCCCCCCCCGCACATCTCCTCCCCTCTCCCTCCCTCCCTCCTCCCTCCCTCCTTCCCTTCTCCCTCCCTCTGTAACTTTGTACTCACTCTGGGTAGATCTTAGGACTGATGTCCTTGATGGACATAGTATACTTGATGGCCTTGATGGCCCTCCCTCCCTCCCTCCCTCCCTCCCTCCCTCCCTCCCTCCCTCCCTCCCTCCCTCCCTCCCTCTCTCTCTAACTTTGTACTCACTCTGGGTAGATCTTAGGACTGATGTCCTTGATGGACATAGTATACTTGATGGCCTTGATGGATGGCCCTCCCTCCCTCCCTCCCTCCCTCCCTCTCTCTCTCTCTAACTTTGTACTCACTCTGGGTAGATCTTAGGACTGATGTCCTTGATGGACATTGTATACTTGATGGCTTCTGAGATGTTCAGGTCATCGTCAACGACCATCCTCTGAAAAGTCCTCAGTTTTGATGTTTTCAAGGCATTTTCTACAAGGAATTTAAATTAAAACAGCTCAAATTAAGTTACAAAATCAGGGTCATTTTAACACAGCTTTCTGCTGAGCATTTGTATTTGTTTAAATCACTACTCAAGTAATGTTCTGATATTATATTGAACAACATGCAACAACAATAGTGTAATAACGTAACTTAGGCCTACACTGTACATGTCTGTGTAACAGTTGAAATATAAATGTAGTTAAAAGTATGACTGATTTCTAAGAATTATTAAAGCAAGTTTAGCAAAATTGACAAAAAACATGAATTCATTATAAAAGTGACAGTTAAGTTGGCAGGTGAGATTATGCCGTTCCTTTTCAGTCCGCTAGTTCTTCTTAGAATGCACAGGGACCAGGGTTTTATTAAAGCTTTTAACTCTAAAAATAACTGTACAAATACAACCGAGCAAATACCTCTGTCTCACCATCAAACTCTTAGCTGCCTTTAAAGCAACCCATTGTTGGCCATTCAAGGTAATGTCTATTATCGGTCTTGTCTGTAAGACTGGGATGTCAGTGAGCACAAGCCAACTTACCAATATCCTTGGTTTTGTGCCCCGTCTTAGTGTAGCTGTTGCAACAGATGCGAAGCAATTCACACTTGCCAGTGGCCCGTCTCAACACCCACTTCAACATCGGATGGAACCAGGTGAAGTAGACATAGAGCCAGATTCTGTTCCACATGTCCTACAGCAATGTACGTAGATAGGGGAGCCACAAAGGGCTAAGGTGTGCTGAGATGTACCTTGCTAGATCCCAAGGCGGGGTAGATGCCAGGTTTTATTCTAGTCACTGTGAAGAAAAGACAAAGCAATTCCCTGATTATTATCACTTTGTTATTCTATGGATATACTGTAAGAAATAATTTTCAAAAAGTTGACAAGATATATCAGCATGTATATATGAAAATAACAAACACATCCTCTAAAAACTTGATTCTACAATTTGGCAACCAAACAATGTTCAAACGAGTATCGGCACTCTATGGTGTATTTTTTTCCCCTTGGTCAGGAACTAAAAGGCAGGGCAAATGAATCGACAAGCGTGATCTGAGGCAGCTTAAGGTTGTGATGTGTATACAGATGATCCGTGTACTTGTACTTTTGACAACTACACATGTTCGATCTCTCGTAGACATGTACACAGTCATTTTTTTTTCCTTCTTTTGAAGTGTCGATTTATGCCCCTCCTGACGCTCACCCATGACCGAAACTCAGAAGAGAACCGGTATGGCACTGAGTAAAAATGACTCCCAGCTCAATTATACACGGCGTGTCAACTCACCACTCGGAAACTAGAACCAAACTAGCTGCCAATGTCCGGATTACGTCTGTCATCTTTAGTTTTAAAAACAACATTGTTACTAATATTTGTGACAATTAAGTTCACAAGCACAAATCAGTTTGCCGTGAATCCCGTGAGAAAGAGCATATTATAAGTCTCGTTTTTAGGAAAAATGCTCAAAAAAGATAGGAAAATTGACACGAAACAGGTAACAAACATATGGAATTTTAAATCAAGACCTTTATTTGGAAATTTGATGAATATTTACTTCATTTTGGGTATGTTTTAGTAGGGTATCTCCACGCCGGACTTACGGGTCATTTTGGATAGACTTCTGAACTGATATATGTGATATGTGATGGTGGTTATTTTACCTGACTGCTAAGAAAGCATAAATGCTTGTAAGTAAGCAACCAGACGGCCAACGGCTTTAGGTCCTCTCTGAGGGACCTGGTAATGAGGATTAATGCATTATACCAAAGGGCCCTAGCGCATCGACTTGGTTTCGAACCCGGGTCAACAGATTACGAGACCACTGCTCTACCACCTGAGCTATCGCACCTCCTCTAGCGCCGAAATTTGAACAAAAACAACTTCAAAATGTCATTTTAAACAGACATGTGTTTGAGATCTCCTGTTTTTTTTCCTTATAAAAACTGCACAAATGTGAATTCACCTACAGTGTTTGCAATTGCTTACTAGATTTATACAGATCTGCAGTTTGACCACACATAGCTGCATTACTATCCTGGCTGTGTAATAAAAGCTGTGCTATTGTCTTATATATTGATTCTCAACATTTCAAACACCACTGTACAAAACTCAACTGATTTCACTAAAAATCGGTAGATCTAGATCTAAGTCAAGTGACAATTGATGACACCTAGAGTCTAAATAGATCTAGGACTAGCAGTAGAATCTAGATCTAAAATACAACTTTTTCAACTTACCGATGTTAGAAAGAATAATTTAAAAATTCAAATTGTAAGTCTACCATCAAACTTGCGGATCAGCCACATCAGCATAATTGTGTGCATTTGTGTATTGTAAGTGTAATGACTAGACCTATCGGTATTCATGTGTGGAAATGCTGCCTAGCCCTAGCCTAGGCTACATTATTTAGTGCAGTGCTAGAGGTCAATACGCATTAGCATGGCATTGACTAGACAGAAATAACCATCTGATTTGGGTCATTTCTTTAATAAAACCGACATTTGTTGACATTCCCCAATACAGATGGTAACCCAGAGATCTCGTACCGTGGGGGTAGCTAGAGCCAACAATGTACATCTTTTTGTTCAAAACATTTTCTCCCCGATTTTCTTTATTTAGATCTAATTTTCTGATTTCTAAATCAGATGTAAATTAGGTCGGTATGTCATTTGTTCTAATTGCAGTTATCAAAATTTGATAACTTAATATTAAATGTATAATTTACGGACTTACTTATATGAATTATCCAATTTGTACCTCAGAACTGTGAAACAGTACGTTCATGCACTCGAACATAGGGCTATATGACCCGGCGGCCAAAATATTTCCGGGTCAACCTACCAAAACATATATATAGCCAAATGGCCAATCAGAGCCAAGCGCGTAACCAGGATTTCATTTTAGGGGGGCGGTAGTGAGCACGCAAAGCGTGCGAATCACTTAAAGAGCACGCATAGCGCGCTCCCTAGCTAGGGGGGTGGGTGCAGGGAGGGGGGAGTTTCCCGAAGACGATTCGTTGTACCTTTCTCGACTCATAATCCTTGTCTGAATTCAGTGGGCCCCTCCTGCGCATAGCGCGGAAACTTTGACGTATTATTAGACAAAGAAGACGATTCGTTGTACCTTTCTCGACCCTTAATTCCTATATGTATTCAGTCCCCCTCACGCGCAAAGCGCGGAAGTTTTGACGTTTCATTAATTTATTAGAGTAAGAAGACGATTCGATGTACCGTTCTTGACTCTTAATCCTTATCTGAATTCAGTAATTTCCTTCCCTCCCGCGCAAAGCGCGGAAACTTTGAAGTTTCATTAAAAGAAGACAAAGAAGACGATTCGTTGTACTTTTCCTGACCCTTAATCCTTATCTGTATTCAGTCCCCCTCTTTCGAAGCGCGGAAGCTTTGACGTTTCATTAAATTATCGACTCCTTTCCCTTTTTCTTCCTACGTCCTCTTACTTTTTTTCTTCTCTTTCTCTTTTTTTTTTTTTTTTGGCGTTTCGGCGTTTTGGGGGGGGGCGACTGCCCCCAACCCCCCCCCCCTGGCTACGCGCCTGATCAGAGCACTCGTTTCGAGGGAGTTCGTTGGTCAAGCCGGGCTGACTCTTACGTAGCTACGGTAGCTATTGGACGTTCGAAAAGAAAAAATGAATATTCATCAACTAAAACCAAGACGGATAATGTTGACGACGAGACTTTCTCGGATTAATCATTAATTTAGAATCTAAATGAGCAAGCTATCGTAAATCAAATAAGCTATAGATCTATATATCTAGATGTTATTTTAAATTTTTATTATACTAGACCTAGTCTATAGTTGCAGCAGTTATGAGGATGTAAAGATTTAAAAGAGTGAAAATCTTGTTGCATATCTCAGTCATCGCGGTCCGGTCGAACCGAACCATTTGTTCCGTACAGTCCCGTACAGTCCCGATAGGCCATACTTCAGTCTCTATAATCGGAGGTCTAGTGGAGCCAGACTTAGTCTCAGTGGAACAACCGACGACAAGAGAGACTGAAGTAGTCGGTCTAGGCATTGACTCTCTAGAGGTCTATCTATGCTTTGCTGGAGTGAGTTTGACCAAAAATCAAGAAATAGACCTCTAGGGCAACCAAAAAATTACTTTTTTTTTTACGAGGGCTCTTTTCAGATTTTCCCTTAAAAAAATAGCCCCCCTTAATTATTTTGCGGTGGCTATTTTGGAGCTCAGGGGGGCTTTTTTTTTTTAAAGGTTTTATTTTTTTTAAACGCGGTTTTACCTAATTAAATTCCAAGCAAAGGCAAATATAGATACAATTGTAGCGTACATGTCATGTAGAGTATTGCAGACATTCAGATACCCATGATTTATTCACTTTGTGTTAAACGTGTGGCTTTATGATTTACATATACATGTAACTAAAACTTGTCAAAAGGAGAGTTCGTTTTTCATATCCTAAGAAAATATTATCACTGACACGCGGGCTAGGAATTAATTTTTTTATGGGGGCTACTTTTCCCCATTGCCTAAAAAAAACCAAGGGGCTACTTCCTTAAAGCCATATTGTAAGCTGTAACAATAAGTTGTGTTTTTCTTTAGCCATCATACTACTAGCAACCAAATTGGTAGGTAATATGTTATTTAGTCTTTTTTTCTGTCCCAAATTTAATTGTTATCATGGACAATGCAATCCCATTAAAAAAAAATGTAGACCAACTCCCTTTAAAATTGTGTTATTTAGACCATTCATAACCATTAAATGTGAGTAAATATTTTTACTGTTGTCCCACATACCGATGTAGGGTCTATTTGTTATGCCGAAACATGCAAAATCATGGCCTTATTTTTTTTTTATAGACTCTAATTCAAGGCCAAGCCAAAGCTAGTTTCATTTCGTAGACAGAAATTGATGTCATCATCAGACATCACTCATGACAATTGGCCTGGCATCGATCGTATATAAATAATTTAATTTAATTAAACAGTTGTAAGAAAGATTCTGAGGAGTAGGAACATCCTTTATATATTTATTTACGGTTTTCTTATAACAAAATTCAATTTCTGTGTACGAAACTTGCTTTATACCGATTTTACAGGAAAAAATCCGGCATTGATTTTGCACGTTTCGTTATTACAAATATATCAGTATGTGGGACAACAGTAAAAATATACTCGCATTTAATGGTTTTAACTTATAAATAACACAATTTTAGACGGAATAACATTTTTTTTAATGGGATTGCATTGTCAATGATAAAAATTAGGGCCAGAAAAAAGACTAAATAAACATATTACGTACCAATTTGGTCGCTAGCAGTTGAGCTCTCGTCACTCGCAAATACTTATTTGCTTCATACAAGGAGCGTGCGGGCGCGCGCTGGAGCTGAGCTAGTAAGTTTCTGTGTATTGTGAACGTGTGCGAACTGCGTATGCATTCATGCTGTGCACGAAACTACATCGGGGCCGGTGGCCTGTCCGGCCGCCGGGAGCTTAGGCGCAGGCAGGCGGATACCGCTGTAGATCTAGCTACAGTAGGTACGACCGCCGATCCGCTGCAACTCACAAAACTTTTAAAATGTTGATGGAAGTTTCTAGTTTTGGAGTTGGTAGTTGGAACGGAGATTTCACTCAGACACATCAATAAATTGGTTTATTAATTCATAGGGAATATCAATTTATGGCGGGGGCGATTTTTCAAGATATATTGATTTTTTTTCGCCCTCGTCTTGATTTTTACCGTGGCGATTTCAGAGGTTTAGGGGGCGAATCGCCCGTCGCCACCGTGTATTTTTTTCGTTGCTCTAGGGTCTAGATTTAGACCTAGAAAAGTTAGAATTAGAAGACTAGCTAGACTACGGTACTCACATTAATTTTATCTGAAATAAACAGTCCAATGTACTCGTCAAATGATGGCGGAAAACAAGATATACAAGCCGTCCAAAATACGTCAGTTCTCGAATTCTCTGACTTGTTCAATTCTGTTCATTGACGTCAACGTAGCATTTCCATGGGACCGACCGGGAATCTCCCTCAAGCTCATTCAGCCATATCGCCACTATAATACCATTGTCACTAGATGGCGTACATCTCCTTTCTGCAAAGCGTCACTTATGCTTTGCAAGCTAGGTCATGCGGGAATTTCTATAAAATTTTGTTAAACCCTCAATTAACTTGTTTAGGCCTATACAATTATAGAGAGGGGAGGGGGAGGGAAAAAATAAAGAAAGAAGAAGGAGATATCTAAAAATAATATTAATAATATTAAAATGAGGAAGAGAAAGAACAATATAGTCAAGTCCTCATTTTTTACCCCCCCCCCCCGGCCCCGAAAGTAATATTATAAAGAAGAAGAAGTACCTTTGAAGAGAAGTGTTTTATCATTTAACATAAATGCATCAAAATGAGTTTTTATTTTAAATTTCTTTTACTGGTTTATCCTGCTCCGTCTTGTTAATTATGCTTGTGAACTGGTATCGTCCGGTAATTTCTCGAAAGAGATTGAATCTCTTCCGAGAACTATTAAAATGGTTTGTTTCGTCGGGTCATTTAATCCATGTAGCTAGATCATTAAATCAGAGGCGGCCCTCCAGGGGGGGGGGGGGGTTATTACAGTGCCCCCCATCATTTTTTTTACGTGTACCCCAGAAGTACCCCTTTTTACATAGAAAAAGTGCCCCTTTAACTTGTCAAAGTGAAAAAGCCACTTTTCCTATGTAAAAAGGGGCACTTCTTACTTTGACAAGTGCCCTTATTAATTTGTAAGAATGCCCTCCCCTCTCCACCTCAGAAAATTGCCACTTTTATTTTGACACGTGCCCCTTTACCTTTGACAAGTTCCCATTTCCCTTTACAATACGTGTCCGTTTTCCATTCTCATAAGTGCCCTTTTTAATCTCTATTAAATGCCCCTTTTAGGTACGAGAAGTGCCCACTTCACCTCTGATAATTACCCCTCTCCTGATAAGTGCTCTTTTCATCGCGGATGAGCGTCCCTTTTCACCTCTAATAATTGCCCCTTTTATTTTGACGCATGCCCCTTTTCCTTTCTAATAAATGCTCTTTTCCTTCTTATAAGTATCCCTTGACCTTCTCATAATTACCCATTTTTATCTCTGATAGGTGCCCCGTTTATTTTAGCATGCGCCTCTTTTTCTTTTTAATAAGGGGACTATCCCCTTTTCATAAATGCCCATTTTCTTCTCTTTTAAATGCCCCAATCAAAATCTGATGGGTGCCCCTTTTCAGTCGACAAATGCCCATTTCCCATTCTCATATGTGCCCTTTTTCATCCCTGGTAAATGTCTTTTTTGTACGTGTAAGAAGTGCCCCATTTCACCTCTGATAATTACCCTGTGTACTTTGACACGTGCTACTTTCTTTTCGTATAAGTTTCTTATCCCTTTCGATAAGTGTCCCCTTTTCCTCTCATCATTAAACGCGCCCCTAATTTCAAGTGACTAAGAGCAATTTTCCTCAAAGCTCGTTTGCTACGTTCGCTCGCATTTATATATGATACAATTAAGTTACTTGTCAAAGGTATTTTCAGTCTTCCGTTATGAGAATGTGCTTGTAATCCCATCAGGATTGGATTTTGTCCTCTTAAGATGTAATTTTTTAGCACTGCGACCTCACAAATATTTTGTTCTTCTCTCGCTTCGCTCGCTCGCAAATGAATTTTCAAACCATCACACCCAACTGTAAAGTATGATGCTGAAATAATATCTGGTATGGTGTATAAAGATAAACAAGTATTGAAATCATCCCTGATAATATCTAGTGTAGGGGTATATACCAATGTCTAAAAAATTATATATTTTCGCTTCGAGATTTCCTTTGTAGGTGCCCTTTTTTCTCTCCAGAAAGTGCCCTTTTTGTTGGTGCCCCGTACTTTGGAAATCACTTCACCGCCCCTCCTTAAATACATGTGACTCGATGTTTTAGGGGGAAATTATGATTTATTCTACGAGTCAGAGTCGACGGGATCCTGAAAAAGATTAGCCCTCCGAGTAATATCACATATTCAATTCCCCGATATTACTGCTTTGATTTGGTAATAGGTTCTAGCCGATTTTAATTCCATTTCGATTTCCTCCATCAAAGAAATCTTTGAAAGATGCATATTAAAAAAAACATGAACAACAAAAAACAAATCCAGGCAAAATTACTAACCGATTGGATGTTTTATTAGGCACAAAAATATTTACGGTAATATTGTGATGTTTTTATTTCTTCTTCCAGAACTTATCTTGTCCTTTTCTTCATTGATCGCGAGTTCACGGCTATACTTTCGAACTTATCACTATTACCACGAACTTATCATTATGCTATCATAAATACATAAATTGCGTTAACCTAAATTTATATATAAACCTTATAGGTTATGAAGCAAATCATTCTCGAAAATACGGTATCTTTTATATACCAACAGGAAGTACTGATTTTTTTCTTATTATTATCATCAACATTTTTCTATGACACCTTCCCCCTGGACATCCACCCCCGGATAGCCACCCCCAGTCAACTGCCCCCTAGGAAAAATACCCCTGGGGCACCGTCCTCTAGGACAACTACCCCCGGACATCTATCATCGGGGGTAGTTGTCCGGTGGTAGTTGTCCGGGTGTAGTTGTCCCGGGGTTAGTCGTTCTAGAGGGAGGTTGCCCTAGTGGGTAGTTGTCCTAGGGGGTAGTTGACTGGGGTTGGTTATCCGCGGGATGGATGTTCAGGATACGCATCAAAATATGTAATAAGGAAATAGGAAAAACGATAACAAAACTATAATATTTGCATAGAACCAAAAAGGCCGGGAGTTAATTTGTAGCTTCTTTAATACATAATTATAATAATGCCATTTTGTTTCTGCAACAAGGTCTTATATATACAACTTCCGAATAATAGAAAAACGCTTTCTAAATAATCAATATAGATATCCATTTTCCTATATTAATTTTTACGGCAAAATTTTCTGAACAAGAGACTTTATAGGGGGATAGAGTTCTATATTATAGCGACCTTACGAATGCCGTATACTCGGAGTGAAAACTCATTTTCTAGAAGTCGGATTCCGTTATTTCTTTCATCCGAACTCCTAACGAAATGAGCCCGAACATGACTCAAAAGAAGTGGACCCCACCCCCTGTTCATCTAAAGAGCATAGCATGCGACGTGGGGCCGTGTCGTATATCTTCCGACCAAATTTGCTTTCTCTATGTTTCCTTTTTTTCCCCGTTCGATTTCGACACGGGGAGCACCCCTACAATATTATTAGAACTGTTATATCATACTGCAATATTTAAGGCTCTCCCACAAAGTATGTTTCCTGCGGAACTCGATCCTGCTGGCCATCACAATGGCCGAAACTGGTACGGCGGCACAATAATGATCTTTTATCCCAGAATATATAAGTTAGTACTGTACAGGGCGTGGATGTTTCGTCCATCGCTATCCCCACGAATCGATCTGCTTATTTCATGCATCAAACTCCATATTGAATGTAAGATCACTGCCAACAGCAACAGTCTCTGAGTGCAGTCCCAAGTCGAAATCTCCATCTCCATCTCCATGCACTTCCGAGGCATTCACCGTTTCGTTCTGACCACCGAGGTCATCGTCGTTACCAATAAGGCCGTTATCATTAGCCAAGTACGACCTGCTGTCATGAAGAACGCTTCTCGTCTCCGTGCCGTTTGAGACATCACCGGTTACCATCTCATCAAAAACCTTATTATCAGCTCCCGCGTCAACCACGTTTTCCTTGACCACGGTGCCGTTTCCCGTAGGCTGACCATCGATCGTTCGGGTGTTGGACGAGGGCCGATGGACATCGTCGATGTTTTCGTCTCGTTTTACGATGGCCATGTCATTCATTTCGACAATAGGCTGGTCGTCGTCATGTTGCTCGTACACGATTTGATTGGCCAGGTTCGTCTTTTTAGCTAAAGAAGAAAAAAGACATATTCCGAAAAGAAAAAATACTGTCATGTAGGCCTACTGTGTTTCATAATAAAATTACAAACAGGGATATTTTTAAATGTAATCGAATTATATGTACCTCATTATTGGGATAAATGTGTTGTCGACATCATGTTTACTTGTATTCACAATATCACCTGATGGAGCAACGTTACACTAATTTTTACATAATTATTTTGGGTAATAATAATAGTGGGTTCTTGTATAGCGCTCATGTCAGTCAGATTTGACCCTCCTGCGCTCCCGATTATTACCCTGGCTTTAGCACGGCTGCCATACGGCGCTCTAGAATTTCAATTTCAAGGAATAAATTCCTACCAGGTACCCATTTACTTCACTCCACTCGACCACAACACCTCTACAATAGCGAGGGAATGAGATGTTTGTGGCGAAAATGTGATCGACCTTGGTGCTGTTTCAGTTAGTTACTTATCGTATTCATTCATTTCAAAGTATAATTTGATGACTATACTGCTTTAGGGGAACATACATGCTGCACCCTTTGGTTCCTCCTTTGTCAAGGGTGCAAATTGAATTTCACCATATTTAGAGGGTTCATACTGTTATACCGATAGGGGTGTCAATTAACAGGACCTTTTCCAGTTTGAATGATCATGTGATAAACTCATTGCTCTATGTTATGTTATGCAAATGACTGACTCTACATTCGAGATAACAGTATAGTTTCACTTGGAGCTAGGCGCAATGGCTCAGTGGTCGAGCAGTGGTCTCGCAACCGAGAGGTCCCGGATTCGAAACCAAGTCAATGCGCTGGTGCCCTTTGGTAAGGCAGAAATCATCATTATTAAGTTCAACAAAGAGGATTTAAAGCCGTCGGTCCCCTAGTTGCTTACTTGCAAGCATACACTTGCAGCTTTCTTAGCAGTCTGGTAAAACCAACCAACTAACAAACTTACAGGATATTCTCTTGACGTGTGAGGACAAATCGTGAGCGATGTCTGTGACAGAACAACACGAGATACAGGATTCGCAGAAGTTTGCTGGTTTGCCCTGCTCCTTGTATGCCGTGTATGGAAATGCATATAGGTGGCCCACCGCGGATAGCCCCATCTCGATGCACAGAATGAAATCCTTCATATGAAATATAAGAGAGAAAAAAAGAAAGACAGAGAGAGAGGGGGGGGAGGGGAGAGGGAGGGAGAGAGAGAGAGAGAGAGAGAGAGAGAGAGGGGGGAGAGGGGATGACATAGATAGATAGAGGGGGAGGGGGGCAGAGATGACAGAGACAGACAGAGAGAGGGACGAGGGGAGGTATGGAAAGAGACTAATAACCTTCTCGTCAAAATATTAAGAAACTTTAACGGGTAATATACATGTATACTCGTCATTTGTGAGAACTGTTCAATGGGTAAAATATATTCCTGTTTTGCAGGGATCATGAGAGGAGGGTTGAAACTCATATAGTAGATCAAACAGTTTGAAGCATCAGTGGACCCTACGCCATTTACCATTCCGTCCACTCAATGAGCATCCTGGTTACTTTGAAAATTGTTTCGCAAGCCTTATAGCAGCTATAAAATTATACCTGGTCACACAAACTGCACGAAATGCAGATATTCTTGAGTGGCTTTATAGATTCTTGAAGACGTGAAACCCCTTGCTGAATTAATACTGACTTATATTTTGTTTTGAATCAACCATCAGCCTGTTCTTTGACAACAAATCAAATATCCACCCATTAATGTAATAAAAAGGTGCCACTATACCGTATAGTACTTATAAAGTGCCACGCCTAATACTGTTGGTGGAAATATTACCACTGGCTAGATCATAAGTCATAAAGAGAATGAAATGGTGTAGGGGATATCAAGCTGATCATGCTGATCCATCGTACCTGGACGAATCTGGAGAAGCGGATGTTCTGTTGGTCATCGTAGCCCCAGTTCTCCGGGTCAAGGTCAGGGTTGCTGAGGCCGATGATGAGGGCGATGATAAGCGATTGGAAGAAGGCGCCGAAGATGGTTAGCTGGACGGTTATCATTTTACTAATGGGATGCAGCCCCGTCAGTTCCTCCTTGGTAGCCCGATAGAATACCATCAAACAGTACATCGCCCACTGGCAAGAAAATCAGGGGAGGACATATTCATAAATGTTAACGTTCATAATTATCTTTGAGTAATTTTGAACCAATATAAATGTATACATTTCCGCCTAGAGGAAAGTGGTGGGGAAATCGGGATACGGCAAAATTCTCTGATGTTGCGAAAGAGATTCCTTCTTGGTACATAAGTCAGGTATTTCTTAACAATTCGGAAATCAATTTTTTAAAGATTATAATTTTATGCGCAAAGTCGTGGTCCAACTTTAATCTATACCTGAGACGACTATTACCAATGTAATAGACTCCATGGGGTGATTTGAGGTGGTCCAAATGCACGTTTACACAAGCCATCAAGAATTATTAGTATTTGGCAAATTTCTGAAACTACAAATCCCGGATTTGATGCCGCACTTAGATTAAAGTCCTGATTGGGCTCAAACTATAAAGGAGTAATGGTGTGTGATTTCATATTTCCTCGAAGTTAATTATGTACTAAAAACAAGAAAAATAAAGAAATGCATCTTACGACTTGAGAGACTCCATCTACTATTGCAAACCAGATCCACAAGCCGATGAAACTGCCTTCTGTGTAATGACCTGTAACAGTTGTTATTCTGTGCAGAAAAGAAAAGAGTCAAAATATGAATTATTCCAACTATATTCTTGTATCCATTTAATCAAATCAATGAGTGTTTACAGAGAGAACGGAGGCAACATTCCTAAAAGGGAATAGGCTTGCAAAGGGGTCGCCATAACGAGGAAATCGGGATATTATATAAATTTATTTCACGATAATGAAAAGCAGACGTAAGTATGTGTTAATAATACAGTATCCCATATTATCAACACAGTGTATTCACACATTCAACACCCTGTTTGATCTCTTGATGTGCTTACAGTGTGATTCAACCACAGTGTGCACACAGTAAGTTCATAACTTAATAGTCTTTTTGGTCACTCACAATGTGGTTCTACCACAATATGAAAACAATGTGTTCAGACACTCGTCACTCTTATCGATCACTTAATGAGCTCACATGAGCTCAGAGTGTGTTCATGCAGTCAGCACTCATATTATCACTTCATGTGCTCACATTGCGATTCTATACCACAGTATGAACACAGTGCGGTCAAAACTCTCATAATTTGGTGTGATTACACTACGATTTTACCACAGTATGAACACAGTGTGGTTAAATAGTCAACATTATACAACACCTACGTGGATCCTCGTCATTTGATTGGAGGATTGTTGGTCACATGATATTCAATAGATGTTATATTGCACGGTCGTGCATTTTTGGTTATATGCGCCGTGCAATTTGGTTATATGCAGCCTGCGTTCCTCTCAGCCGTGCGCGCGTGTATCCCTGCGTGTATCTGACGCGAAGGCAATCTGAATGTAATCAAGAAGGCTTGAATCCAACTTGAATTTTATCTTTAATATAAGGAGTAAAGCATAATTTGTTGATTAACGTTCTATTAGATCTTCTTCGATGTTGTATAAAACAAATAATGAATGTTTTTCATTCGTTCAATGGTGCGAATATTTTCATTCGTTGAAAGATTAACATTAATTCTATTCAACTCGGCTGACGCCTCGTTGAATAGAATGTTAATCTTTCAACTCATGAAAATATTCGCACTATTGAACTCATAACCATTCATTATTTGTATACTATATCATTTGATGTGTTCACATTGCGATTCTATACCACAGAGTAAACACAGTCTGGTCAAACGGTCAAAAACTCTAATAATTTGATGTGCTCACACTGTGATTTTACCACAGTATGAACACAGTGTGGTAAAAAAAAATTAACAATATTATTTTGATGTGAACACATTGTGGTCAAATAGTCAAAAATATTATCATTTGATGTGCCAGCAATGTGATTCTACCACAGTAGGCACACAGTAAGTTCATAAGTGTTCAGACACTCGTCACTCTTATCGATCACTTAATGAGTTCACCTTATGATTTTACCACAGCATGTGCACAGTGTGTTCACACAGTCAGCTACCTCATTAATCACTAGCTGATATATTATAGTCCCATGTGTGTTCTCAAAATCAACACCTCTTATTGATCACTCGATGTGCTCACAGTTTGATTCTTTTACAATGAATACTTTGTGACACCATTGTTAATTTTTGTCGCCGTTTAAAACTGTTAATTCACTACGTTATTTCTTTCTCATTATCTCATACATATCTGACATTACGCAGTCATACTATCTCAAAAAAACTATGAAATGACCATGATAAAATGTTGGGATTGGGTAATGTGGACAAGAATAATATATAATAGTTCATTCTCGGAGGTCTACTTACATAGTTAAGATCGTGATGATCGGATGTATGATGGTGTAGTTGAGAACACCAGCTCGACACCTCCCAATTAATCTGCATAAAATAAAATTCAGATATTTAACAATATGGAAAAGGCCTATACCTTCTTTATGGCACAAAATGATTGATAAGAAACATTCCATGGCAGCAGTAACTGAATTATACTGTTGCCCATAAAGTGGGAATGATTTTTTGCGACCTATTATCATATCTATTTATATGTAACTATATCAATATGATTTATTCTTGATAGATATAGTTCATATCTTAGAGTGTTGTCGACCAATACTATTCTAAGAAGATATGAACTATATCTAGAATAAATCATATTGTCACAATATTTTCTTCAAAAGAGGTAACATGAATTTATTTCAACTTTATAGGCAACAGTTTATTAATGTCACTTTCTATAATAATGCCAGTGATTATAAATGCAATGTTTTCGCCGATTTAAATAATGTCTAAAATTTTAGATGATAATGGCCTACTAGGTGTATGGAAACGACAATATCTACGGTTCACTACTAATGTTCCTAAATCCGCATAAGAAAATTGGTGCTACATGGATTTCGTAACCAGTCTCACCAAACTTCAAGAAAACTTGTGTTTCCAAACGTTATCCTGCAGTTCAAACAGTGAATGGAAACTTGAGTCTTTATTTCATTTTTATAAGCTTAAAAAGGAATACCTCTTGTTTGGGACTGCTTTCACACAGCAGCAAGGTGGCGAGGGTTTGAATTTGGGTTTGCTGCTCAGAATCGTCTCCAGATCGTCGAAAGTTTCGTTCAAGTAAACAATTAGCAGAGACATGAAGCAGTAGATGACAAGGGCCTGGTATAAGTTACGTATCGTGTCCAGGTAGATGGAGGACTCAACGAACTTGATCGAAAACCACTGGATAGAAAAGGATGTTGTTAAACATATGTGAGGAGTGAATCAACAATATGGTATGGCCTGTAGCTGTAGGGCAATACGTCCCTATTATAATCAAGTCATCGAAAGTCTTGTTCAAGATAAATCAGAACGAACTTGATCAAAAACCTCTAAGAAAAATGGAAGAAATATGATATTTGGTAAACAAAAAAAAGTAGGGATGGGGGGCATTAATTAAAGTGGGCCTCATCACACGTACAAGAAAACTTGAACACATCACGCCGACCATTCAACCTCTACACTGGCTCCCCCTCCAACAGTGTGTCAAATTTAAGATTATCCTGCTTTAATACATACAAAGCCTTTCACAAACTTTCTCCCTCGTATCTCTCAGAACTCATCACTCCTAAAACTCATTCTTCCTCTAATCGTCTCTGATCATCGTTCACAGCACATCTTTATCAAGCCGCTATGGTGACCGTGCCTTTTTCTGTTTGTGCCCCCCCTAACTTTGGAACAAACTTCCCCATGAAATACGCGAGTCTCCAACTTTAGAAACCTTCAATAGTAAACTTAAAACCTATCTGTTCAATACGTAATGTAATTATATTTCGTTGGTTAGTTTATCAAGCACTATGTAAAAGATGAATTATTACTGTTATTATTATTATTTCATTTCATTTCATTTCATTTATTTTCCACATTAAAAACCAGATAAATATACAAGGTAAAAGATTACATTATACACATTTGACACATAGAGCAAAAGAAAACAGATACATAAGCATAAAAGAACAATGAAAATCTACATCAGTTAACAAAAACATCAACATTAAAACATAAAAAGGTGAGTAATGTAGATGGGGCTAGAAAAAGCGAAGCTTGTCGAGTCTAGCCCCGGTAGCAATGAAGGGGAAGTCCACCCTGAGAATGTGTGTGGCCAAGTAAAGGCGGAGTAAACCCATCCTCAGGGTGGACTCTCCCTTCAAATGTCTGGTTTTATAATTAGATTAAATTGACCCGATGATAACATAATTGCGATTTGAAACATAATAATAATTGTTTTTAAATTGATTTGACTATTTAGAATTGCAGAGATATTGTTTATATTTATACTTAAATTGTCGTAATGATGCAGATTGTTTGAGACTGTTATCTAAAGTAGACCATGTAAGGTAACCCTGATTATATATTTGTTATTAGGAAATTGTTATTAGAATTATGTTGTAGTTTAACATTACTTTGTATTTTTGTTAAGCGCTTAGAAACATAAGCGCTTTATTAATGTAATATATCATTATCAATATTATTATCAAAATGCATAAGTTATGGTGGATTGTAGGGAAAATTCACAAAGGCTTGTTAGAAGTCACGTTACGTGTCCCATTGAAGTTATTTATTTATTCATAAGTTTGTGTTCTTTGTACAGGCTAGTCTCTTCCGTATATAAAAACTGCTTTGCAAGAGAACCCTTTATTACATAATAAAATTCAAATATAATGTAAAACATTTAAAAAAAAATATTGAACAGTAAACATTTCTAATATATAAATAGTGAAAAACATTTATTTAAAAAAAAAAACAGAGCAAAAAAATTAAAGACTAATAATGGCAACAAGTATCATACTTTTGATCACGATACACATTTCAACTAAAATATAATTTATTAATACAGACAAAGTACTACAAAGGGTACGTATTTCGTGATTAGGTTCAATGCCCCATTCCCTTTGCAATAGTATTTCAGCATGTCATGTATGGCCATAAATATAAGTCTGACCTCCCACTCCCACTCCTTCGTCATAGCTATTGAAAAAATACATAAAAGGTGTTGGCATGAATCTTTTCAGGTCACGTAAAAAGTTGAAAGTTAAAAGGTAAAAGGTAAAAGGTATTAAAGGTACTATGTCCAATTTGCAGGCCAAAAAAATGTAAAAGTTAAGTTCCAACTACATTTGAAAGATAATACTAATTTAGAACTTCCCTAAAATAGGTGGGGCTTGAAAATGTCTTCAAGTGGGAAAATAACGACTATTAGTTGTCAAATCGACTTTAGGGCTATAGAGCCCAAAAGTAATATGATTTTCAGACAATTGTACCGAATGGTCATGCGTTTTATGCTGTGCAAAGATTCAATCAGTTTAATCTTGGCCATCACAAGAAGTGGGTTATTGATGTAGACAAATGCTCATGTACCCTTTACAACTCTTTTCATGTATGTTATTCCCAAAGAAAAAAACAGCCAGTCGGTCACTCAATAGTGTCTGACAGTGAAGTCTAGCAAGTAAACAGGTTTCCTTGCATAATTTGAACATGAGGACACTGCTAACGTTTAAATTTCACAGATAGGACATACATGACATATTCATAATTCCTGCAAAGTTCTACAGCATTTGAGGTTGGCTGCAAAAGGGACATAGTACCTTTAAAAGGTAAACAATTAATGTAGATAGAAGAGATTAAGTAGCACGATCGCAAAGACTTCAATAAATCACTTCAAGAGCAATTGAAATATCCTTTATATGCTCAATGTGATTGGAGTATGTAATGTGTCATATATGTTCGCTTATTTCAATATGTGATTTTCTAGGCTATTGGAAATTCGTGGTTGATTTCTTGAAAAAGAACTTGAGATCGCGTTTGATTTTATGTTTGGAAGAAAGAAATGGGTGGGAATAGGGATATCAATACGGTTTGTTGGATTTTAGGACAACAACCTAAGCATAATTCATCTCGTTGGTTAAGTTATGGAGGTCTTATAATTGATAACCTGCTATCAATGCTTTCCCACGAGCATAAAAAATATAGACGTTTTCTAAAAAATATTCTATGAGAATTTTTTTCTTTGAAAAGGTGATATAAATAATTCTTTACTCACACAATTGATACTATGTGCAGGAACAATCCCTAACATTCTGCAATAAAAAGAAGAAACAGGGAAGATAAAACATCATCATTAATCATCACACACACCATTAGCTACTGGTTTACATTGCAAAGTCCACTAAAGAACGATGGTATTACAAGCTATTTAAATATTGACTACCGGCACCTTTTGTTTCATGAAATTAGTTACACAGCGTTTTATGAATGAGGCATAATACATAAATGAATGGCTACGTAGAGTGCGTACAGTTGTACAATGGTAGATTCCCATTCAAAAGTGTATTATTCGTTTTATCTATCCCTTTATGTATTTGTATGTCTTACTTCGCTCGGCGCTCGACAGCAGATAAATAAGATATAGTTGAATAATGCAGATACGATATAATTAATTAATGCATTATACTGTAGTATAATCAGTATTTATTTTCTCACGCCTTGCTCTTCTATAGGTGCCCCGAAACTAAAGATCATGATTTTCCTATAAAAAAATGTAATGTTACCCCCAAGAACCCCTATACCCCTTCCCCCACATTCCCCAGCTTGGAATATCAGGGATGGGTCACACTTTAAAGACAATGCAGAGATATTTTGATGATAAACATTTGAACAATGTTGATATAGGGGTCAATCTCTGATAATAAGAAATCTTAATATTATTTTTAAAAAGGGGGCATTATATTTATATTCTGCTTACCTGACTATATATTTCTGTTGGCTTGGCTTTGTGTAATAAACCAAGTGATTAAAGATATTCCATAGCGAGATGGCGGTAGCAAGTTGTACAGATATACCGGCAACAAACCAAAGGTAGTTCACTGGATTATCGGAATTCATTGAAGTGACAACGGTCTCCCATATGGTCAGGGCAAGAGCAACGACTGCGATGACCAAGTAGGCAACGAGAAAGATCTTCTGTGAGTGCTTTCTCCATTCCCCTCCAAAACAGCTTCCACAGAGTTTTGGGCAATTGACCGCCATTTTGCTCAGTGCAAAAAAGAGATGCTAAAGTTCATGGTTAAGTTTCAAAGATGTAACGGAATAGTGTTATAAATTCATTTCCAATACTTCGTAATATTCCTTATCTGTTCTTAACACATTTTCTCAACAGTATACCAGAAACAAAAACAGTGATTGGATCCCAATTGTTGCTATAGTTTAGGCCCGGAATAGTGAGGTCCCATGCATATAATCCAAATATATTGTCCTCGTTGAATATACAAGCTTTCTCGCAAACTCCTAAAAAAATGGAGTAAAAACCGTATATCTATTCAATTAATATCTTTCGAAGAATCGGCCTATGTAGCATTGGCATTGCAAAGTATGCTTCAAACTACCAAACTCTAGACAATCCCAAGTCTTATCACTTTGCATACACGCCCCATGACTTATCTTATCAAGGCAAAAATACCAGAGGTCTGTTTACATTAGCATAGTGCACTTATCGAATCAAAGTGCTTCAACTTTAAGGAACGTAATTAATAGTATACGGTCTCAATTTGGCAAATTAGACACTAGGATTTCAGTTTGCTTAGGCGGTCTGTAGGCCTATTTATTTCATGAAAATTGATTTTAAGGTCGAGATTTTAGCTGCTACATTGGGGAAAATTTGACACTGGTCACTGGAGCATTGTTTTAAGTAAATCTGCGAAAACGGCGTTAACAATAATTTCACCATTCCTGGCTCTTTGCGTTTGTATTTTGAATACATCTTGTAACTCCTTGTCGGTTATTAGCTTATAGTCTAATTTGAAAGAAATCTACGCGACTTCTATCAAAGAAAGGTTTTCTGATCAGAATCGAAAGTAAACGTGACTTTATCAAAGATACGAGCCAAATTTAAAGTTTACAATATTTTCACATAAAAAGTTAAAATTTGATTAGTATTATACATAGATATCGAGTGCTGAATTGAATATTCTTTGTAGAATATCCCCTTTTCCAAAATGTTTTTAAACATACTTCACACCTGGAAAAAAAAGGGAAAACCAAGTTCTACACAGTGGTGTACATGTAGATACGGGCAGAGGGGCTGAGGGCACGTACCCCTACAATATAGTGGTAAAAAAATAATAAAAACGAAAAGTAAGATCAGAGAGAACGGGAAAGAGAGAGAGGGGAAAGGACAAGAACAGAAGACGTCTGGACCCCCTCTGAACCTTTACCCTAATCAGTAGCCTTTTAAAATGGCATTTAATTTTCAAAGTAAGACTGGTGTCTCCTAATCGTCAATCGTTCCAATGCCCTCCTACCCCCACACATTCTCACATCAGGGCCTTTGTGGGGCACCTGATTGTGGGGTATTTCTGTGCGTTCCAGATATACCTTGTGGTCCCCTACTAGTGGGGTATGTACAACCTGGCGATAACAACCCGGCGGTGTGCTTACGATGTTACCATAAAAAAGTGTGCAAGTTTTAGCACACGCTCACAAAAAGTCATTTATGGGGTACCACTTCTAATGCCCCGCAGGGCATAGGACACCGAATATACAGTCATTTGAAAGACTTTACTCTGTGGGGTCCTGAAAAAATACCCCACAAAGTAAAAATGCCTCACAAGGGGTATGTGAAGCGCACATAAAACCCCACAAAAATGCTGAGGTGAGAGCCCCCCCCCCCCCACCCTAAGTGGGTGGACTCACGCTATGTCACTGGTATTGCAATGATTCCTGCAATTACAGAAGCCCATAGTAGGGTTCACTCATTTCATGACATGTTAAGGACGACACAGAATGCAAGGGTCCCCCTTGCAAACTATGTAATCACAGAATGCAAGGGTTCCCTTGCATTTTGTCCCGTCCTAAACATCTCATGGAATGGTCTGCGATTACATAGTTTGGATAGACTGATCATACACTCCTATATAGAAATGAAAAGAGATCATTTCATGACATGTTAAGGACGACACAGAATGCAAGGGTCCCCTCTTGCATTTTGTCCCGTCCTTAACATCTCATGGAATGATCTGCGATTACATAGTTTGGATAGACTGATCATACACTCCTATATAGAAATGAAAAGAGATCATTTCATGACATGTTAAGGACGACAAAGAAGGAAAGACTACGCTCGATTCTCATGTTATTCCACAGGAAAAGGATTATGGGGTCTTAGTTTTGAAGATTTTTTAATTTTTTGAAATAACCGGGTCTGGAGTAAAGACTGCGCGCTATACCCATGCTTTATTACAGGGTTTTAGTTTTGAATAAATTCGACAAAATATCACTTCAAATTTATTACATTTGTGGGTAAAGTGGTTATTACATTTGTGGGTGAAATTATTACATTTGTGGGTAAAGTGTTATTACATTTGTGGGTAAAGTGTTATTACATTTGTGGGTGTAACATCCCATTTGTGGTTGATTCAAAATTATTACATTTGTGGGTAAAGTGGTTATTACATTTGTGGGTGAAATTATTACATTTGTGGGCAAAGTGTTATTACATTTGTGGGCGTTATTACATTTGTGGGCGTTATTACATTTGTGGGTGTAACAGGGTGGCCTGTACAATCATCCCCCCCCCCCCAATAATTCACCATAAAAAAAAATGAAGAGAAAAATTAATGATGAGAGCCCGATGAGAGTAGTTAATGGTTATTACTCGCAAGATGACCATCAATATACACATTTTGCCATCTCATTTTCATAATACATACGTAAATGAGACAACCGTATATGAGACAAGAATAAATTGAATTCTCGCTCATACGGCTTCATCAGGAATTGATGAATTTATTCAATTATTCAATCAACAGCACCATAGAAATGCAGTGCGCCAAATGCAAAGCCGCAGCGTTAAAAAGCAACGAGCTAAATGTTAAGCGTGAAGCGCAAAAGTGCAAACAAGAAGTAAAGAGTGGGAGAGAGAGATAATGAGAGACTGAGAGGATATAGGCGCGTAGCCAGGGGGCGATTGGGGCGGTCGCCCCCCCCCCCCCAACAAAAAGAGAGAGAGAGAGAGAGAGAGAGAGAGAGAGAAAGAAGAAAGGAAAAGGACGTGGGAAGAAAAAGGATTATGAGTCGAGAACGGCACAATTAACGAGTCGTCTTCTTTCTCTAATAATTTAATGAAACGTCAAAAGAAACTGAATTTAGACAAGGATTAAGAGTCGAGCACGGTACAACGAATCGTCTTCTTTCTCTATTGATGTAATGATACATCAAAGCATCCGCGCTTCGCGCGGGACGGGGGAACTCCCCCTCCCTGCAAATAAAATCCTTCGCGCGCTCTGTAAGTGATTGAGCTCACTACCGCCCCCCTAAAAATAAATTCCTTGCTACGAGCTTGAGAGGATAATAACCCAGGTAGCAAGCCCATGTGGGACCCACATGGGTCCCATATTCTCTGAAATGTTATCTTTATTGAGGGTGACTTGAAAAAGTTAATAACTTGGAAGGGAGGGGGTGCAACCTGCCACCAGCCCCCCCCCCCCCCCCCTTGAGAAAAAAAAATCATGTAAAAACACGTGATTTTTACCTTTTGGGGGGGGGGGGTTTTTAAATTTTCGAGGACAAAAAAAAAATAAAAATAGTGCTCACTACCCCCCCCCCCCCCCCCCCCACTGAGCGACTTTTCGGGAGCAAAAAAAAATGTTGAGCCCCCTCCCCTAAGAAATCCTGGATCCGCGCCTGCCTGCCACACGCCCCTACCTCTTAGTTGCTTTGATCCATTGCCGAACATATTTTGGCACCTATAATCCCCCCCCCCCCCCAACCACGGATACAAATCGACACCGTTGGACATTATGGAGTAAAGAGTAGATCTCACTTTAAAAGGGTATCAGGCATGAAAGTTTAGTTAAAATGTCTTTTCTCTAGATTCAATCTTTAACAGTAAGACACATACAGACAAATTGCTTTGTTATGTGACGTTTATGAAAGCATAGAGCAATTTTAAAGCTTTAAAATGGTGTCAGTCATTATTTAGTTAAAATGTCATACGATAGTTTTATGACTTCAAAGTATAAAAACGCATTTTGTCCAATATTACACTCGAAAAACCCGAATAAACCCCGCATATTATGCCGATTGAGCCCTAATTTCAATTTGAAACAGGATAAGACCCAGACAAATTGCTTTGCGACGCCACATTCCCTTCACATTTATATATATATATATATATATATATATATATATATATATATATATATATATATATATATGATTTGTTAACGGGGGCTGCTATACTCGTCTATGGGTCAGTTGGTCACAAGGAAACCCTGTATACCTAAAGTGACTTCTTTATAACAACAAATCAATGTTATACTAGTTAAATTACCTTGTTTATCCCCAAAATAAATAGTATTTTTATTTGCTTTTGGCTGTTCTTTAGTTGGTCTCGGGAATGACACAATGACATGATAAAAGGTATTACAAAGTTTGGGAAATTTTGAAAAATGGGTGGATAGTGATTCTTTACAATTTTGATATATTTGGATGCCCCTGTGGATGTATTAAAACACCAGAAATTTGAGCTCCTAAAACACTTCTGCTTTCGAGAAAATTGAATATAGAATTTACCGGTGCTCCCGGTAAATTTTGATGAATTTCGAATAGCTCCTACGGCCGTACAATGGTAGCTGCGACCATGAAAATCTCAGTGTATGTAGTTGTGGTATATAATTTCCGAACGACAATAGCTAATCGGTCGATTTTAGTCAATAAGCATTGTTTTATAGCTAAATTAATATCTTGACTTTGAGAGGGAGCTATTCAACATAAAATGTTTATTATTTACAATTTCATAACTTTAGAGTCGATTTCGACCGCGACAACGATCACTGAATATTGTAGGATCGTATATGCTTCCAATATATTCATTTGAACCAAATTCCTGACCCCATACCAAAACTTTGTATAACCTTTAATGTGATTTTACCTCATATGTAATAGAGGGTTCCGGCATGTTGCCCACCCCCCTCACAAATACTTATCAGGGCTACAGTCTAAGTGTACATTTGAGTGTACACTTAAGGTTTATCATCTCGATATACTGTGATTCATAAAGTAGTTCATTTTGTAGTTATATTGGTGCCTAGATCTATCATGTATTACTGTATATAGATGTAAAATTTCTTCTTCTTGATATTCTGTGTCTCAGAACTGAATATTTTCAGATAAATGTCAGCCTTTTATTCCCTCCCCCTGTTGTATTGTGCCCGTTGTGTGCTGTGCCTATTGTCGATGTGCGCTGTAGTCCTTTATTTTTTCTCATATTTTTTCTCTCTTTTCTCCCGTCTTCTCTAGCAGTCTCCCTATCTTGTGTACACCTCTTGTTTCTATTTATGATATCTTTAAAGTGTTGTAGGTTATTATGTATTTGAAATGGCACACAATTGTTTTACACTGCTTCAAAGTTAAGGGGCGGATCCAACATTTTTTCAAATGGTGGGGGGCACAGGGGGGGGGGGGGCAAAACGCATTTTTGCCCCGCCCCCCCCCCCCAAAAAAAAAAAAAAAACGCCCCCCCCCAAAAAAAAAAGTAGTTAAAGAGTAAAGATGGTTTTTATTTTTAACCCAAAAGAACATAACAATAATAAAAACATGAATTAAATCACATATAAAATTCCATTTAAAGAAAAGGCAAGTTAACAGGAATTAAATTTCCCTAACATTGCGCATGCCACCTATGATTCATCAATAGAGGTTTTTATAATAGCGATACGCGCATATCGTGGACATATTGTGAGAGAATGGGAAAGCGTGTCTGTTTTTTGTTATAGAGGTGAGAAGACATGAGCCCCTGAACGGTGGCGAACTGATGGGGGGGGGGGGGGGGGGGGGGGGGGGTATGTCTTATTTGATACCAGTGATTTATAAATGTTGCTGAAATGACATGATTTCCTGGTATTTTTTCTCAATTTTTTTGGTAAGTCATACCTTTTTATGCGTTTGTTGGAAAATTAGAAATTACCAAATTTATAGTCGGGCGAAAAATATGCTTATTTAGAAGCCTTTATGTCAGGGTCTGCAGAACGGCTGTACTCGGGGGCTCGAGCCCCCCTCACTTTTTTAAAAGAGTATGTTACAGAGAAAAAGAAAGAAAAAAATGAGAGAGAGAGAGAAAAAAATAAGTGACCTGCCAATGTCACAAATGATGCGTATCAAAATATGCTCATCTGACCGTAATTAAATGCCTAAAACCCCCTGGACCCCACCAAGGGCCCTAAGGCGGCCCCTGGATGCTCATCTGACCGTAGTTAAATATTAAAACCACTGAGCTTCCGGGGGCTCTGCCCCTGGACCACATCAATGGCCTTAAAGACGGGGCCCTGGATGTTCATCTAACCGTAATTAAATACCTAACACCCATGAGCTTCCGGTGGTCTGCTCCCTGGACTCTCCGCCAATTAGTGACCGGCCAGTGTCACAAATAAGGTATCTAAATATGCTTATCTGACCGTAATTTAAAGCCTAAAAACCCTGAGCTGCCGGTGCTCAGGCCCTGGACCCCACGCCAATTTACGTTCTACCTGATCGTTAATACTCCACCTTGAAAAACGTTCCACTGGGCCTGCATCCGGATCCAGGGGCGGGGCCGAAACGGCCGCGGCCCCCCCCCCCCCTATTGGCGGCGCAAAAAAAAGAAGAAAAAAAAAGGAAGAAAAGAAGAGAAAAAAAGAAAGGAGAAGAGGAGAAAAAAAGGAGAAGAGAAAAGAAAGGAGAAGAGAAAGGAAAAAAGAAGAGAAAAGAAAAGACAAGAGAAAAGATAAAGAAGAACCCACCCCCCCCCCTCCCTCCCACTCGGAGGGACCGAATTTATGTTCCCAAAATTTCCGATAAAGAGTTACTTTTCACGCAACAAAGTCCGGCCCGTAATACACAAAAATCCGGCCCGTACTGACTTTACACACCGGAGATAGAGGGGAGCTTTCAGAGAGGGAACATACATGTGCGTACCCTAGATAACACTCAGTGGGTGGGGGGGGGGGGGTGGGGGAGAAAAGTCGGGTGAGAAAGGGGAAAGACAAGGAAATGGCGCTAATGACAGTAACGACGAATAAGGGAAAACTGTAATCGGGAGATTTGAGGGTCATTCCAGAAGGCTTGGCAAACGTTATTGAATAGAGAGGGGCTGGGCCGGCCGCATAAAATCTCGAGCCGCGGATTCAAAGTTAAACGTTAAGAACAGCCCCTGCGGTCATCAATCTTTAGTAAGAAACTTGAAAAGGGCACAATATTTTGGACGTCTTTTAAATAGAAGTTATATACTCAACAGTCAAATTTTAAATTAACGGTAGGGCCGCTTCACAACTCTTATTTTGCCCTTCATTTGGATTCAGCTCATTCCAACTCGCTTGTGCTTGTATTTGAACTCATGTTGGTAGTAATCATGGACAGGGGCGGCAATCCTGGGCCCGATAGGTGGACACGTCCCCCAGGAATTTAGAAATATAGCTCGAAAGAAATATAGTGGAAAGAGCGTACATATTGGGCTTAGGGATTTTCTAGAATGCATAATTGCAGCATTCAACATTGCAAAATCTCGCTTGGTCGCTACGCCCCGACCCTCACCCGATAACACAAAACTATAACGATCCGGCCGTGATTTATCCATTGTTGGTGTAATAGATCTTTTTTTCCCTTTCATTTCTACTAATTGTGTGCTATCACAATCATGATTGTTTCATTTTCTCTTTAAAGCAGTCTCATAGCCTGGGGCGGTACGGGCAGTAAGAGGACATAGGCATGGCCCTGGGAAGCGGGGGTGCTGTGGGTGCTGCAGCACCCCCGGAATTTTTCCAGGGGGGGGGGGGGGCACAGCACCCCTTGCAAATTGTTTTGGTATGATATATTTAATGTATATCATTATATGCTTCGTTTACACAATGTTCACACAGCCGACAGCCACAAATGATGATTAGAAAGAAAACAATTAAACAACTTTTTAAAAATCCGATAAAATGTATCCCTCGAAGAGATTTAAAAAAAAAAAAAAAAAAAAAATTAATATAATTTAAAAAAAATAAAAAATTGTGGTAATTGGTGACCCAAAATGACAGAACTTCCCCCCCCAATACCGATCGAACAAATTTTCAAATTATGGGATCCACAAAAAAAAAAATATGTCTTCTTACCCCCCCCCCCCCCCCCCCCCCCCCCCCCCCCCCCGCTTTTTCAACGGCTGGCTGAGTCGTTGCGAAAATTTTGCAGTATTATCTCAGCAGCCCCGGTGAAAAAATCGTTTCCAGGGCCCTGGACATAGGACGAAAAAAGGAGCAGACAAAGAAACATTTTGAAAATTCTGACAAGCCGAGAACGGTACAACGAATCGTCTTCTTTCTCTAATAATTCAACAAAATGTCAAAGCTTCCGCGCATCGCTCGGGAGGGGGGCAACTGAATTCAGACAAGGAATAGGAGTTGAGAATGATAAAACGAATCATCTTCTTTCTCTAATAATTTAATAAAACGTCAACGTTTCCGTGCTTCGCGCGGGAGGGGAAAAACTGAACAGACAATGATTAAGAGTCAAGAATGGTACAAAGAATCGTCTACTTTCCCTTATAATTTAATGAAACGTCAAAGCTTCCGCGCTTTGCGCGGAAGGGGGGGGGAACTCAATTCAGACAAGGATTAAGAGTCGAGAATGGTACAACGAATCGTCTTCTTTCTCTTATAATTTAATGAAACGTCAAAGCTTCCACGCTTCGCGCGAGAGGGGGGGGGGGAACTACATTCAAACAAGGATTAAGAGTCGAGAATGTTACAACGAATCGTCTTCTTTCTCTAATAATTTAATGAAACATCAAAGCTTCCGCCCTTTGCGCAGGAGGGGGAAAACTGAATTCAGACAAGGATTAAGAGTCGAGAACGGTACAACGAAAAGTCTTCTTTCATAATAATTAAATGAAACGTTAAGCTTCTGCGCTTTGCGCGGGAGGGGGAAAACCAAATTCAGACAAGGATCAAGAGTCGAGAATGGAACAACGAATCATCTTCTTTCTCTAATAATTTTTATTAAACTCTAAAAGGTCAAAGCTTCCGCGGGCAAGAGGCCATAGCCCCCCCCCCCGATGAAAATGTCAAAAATTGTACCGGTATGGTGCTTCTAATATGACCTTGAAAAAACGGTCTGCGCAATTTTCAAATTTCCTGCCCCCCCCCCCGCCTGTTGGAAAATCCTGTATCCGCGCCTGGTGGTGATGCAGATTTTTCTTCCGCCCCCCTCCTTCCAAACTCTTTTGCTCATCACGTCACTGCTCCTGGAAGGTGAGCCCCCTGCAATGTTTGCCCCCCCCCCCGATCCCAAACTGCTTCCGGCGCGCCTGGCGTGGTGGTGGTGGGGGGGGGGGGGGTGTACGAAATTGCGAGCGCTAAGCGAAGCCTGGCCCGCGCTTTAAAGCCCCCGAATATGTTGAAACCTAAGATGCTTTATTATATATGGTACATTCTGAGGCATTTCTGTAGGCCGGTCAAGCTCGCTATCCATAAGGACCGCTATTCATAAGGACCACTATTCATAAGGACCACTATCCAGTAACCCGTGACTGAGCGATCTTTTATAAATAGCGGTCCTTATGAACAGGCACGTGCTCCAAAAAAAAAAATTCCCCAGGACGTCGATCAATTTGTGTCCCCCCCCCCCCCCCCACCCCAAACATCAAACTCTGGCTACGGCCCTGCTTATGATTAGCGAGCAGACCCCTTTCCGAATGCGTAAACTGAACATTAATATCTGAATTTTTCTTAGCTTTTTTTCCTGCTTGTCTATTTCAGAAGGAAATTTAAAAAAGGGGGCGTGCGCCCCCATGCTACCCCCTGGGTCCGCCCTTGTTATTTTTTTCCTATTTTTGTTAGTGAAATGTGCGGGGGTTTTAACCTCAACAGGATGTTGACTAAGACATAAACAATTCGACATGTATCATATATGAGAATAAACAGCAAATTCTGAGCTTTAAAATGATAAAAGTTATTATCTAATCTAGTTACATTTAGGCCTACATACGATCACTTTAAAAACATTCAATTAAATCGAGACGTGCAAAACTTTTTTCCTTTTGAATTGGCCATTTTAAATACACTACAACCCTTTTATTAGTCGCTAGCTTCCTCCATATTGGTCGCAGCTCAGGCGCAGGCTTATTGGTCGCTAGTTTCGAGGAGTTGCTGGTTAAGGTTTCGAGAAATAAGGCTTGGTTGATCTTAATGAACACACCGAAATACGTGACTCCGTAATTTAATTTCTCCTGCTGAGTCCTGGGATAGGCTAATATCAAAAAGGTAAGTGACTGTATAATATGGATTCAATAGTATGAATCTACTGAAAGTCGAAAGATAATTATAAATCACTGTAAATGTTATTTGCAAAATTATTATCAGAGTGCAGAGCCAGAGATGGCGTCATTCGCTAACTTTGGCACTGACAAAGTCCCATTGGTAGGTTTATGTGTGATGTAAATTTAATAACTCCATAGCTGCATTATCCATTTCTTAGTAGGTCTAGGAGCCTATAGTAGACTCTATTCCATAATCCTGGCTGTGTATTAAAAACTGTTATTGATTCTTAATAATAATAATAATAATAACAACATTTATAATGCGCACATATCCACCCCAAGAAATGCTCAAGGCGCCTAACAAGGTAGGTAGACCGGCGCTACTGCAGTTCCGTATCCATTTTTTTAGCAGTTTCATATCCATTCTTAGCAAAGGAATTTTAGCCCAATATTTTACTAATTTTAATCATAATCATATATTGCATTTTCCACCTGAATTTGGATCACATCCAACATCGGGAAGCCTCCGTTTAGGGCTTCGATGTCGACGTCGTCGCTCAGTACCGTGTCCGCGCTACCGCTTTGCAACTCAAACTGAAGCTATCAGTCTAAAATTATGCAAGCTTCTCGTATAGTTTATGGTATCGTGCATGTGCGTAATACCATACAGCTGATCGCCGTGAGACAGGTGCGGTTGTTATGGTAACCTACCCGGGTGAGGTTTTTGCGGATGGCTGATTAATACGGTGTCCAAAAGCTCACCCCGTGTTTTACGATCAGACCCCCCACTGTTTCTCATCCACATATCGCTCGGGTGAGATCGAAAAAGTTCTATTAAGATGGGGCTTTAGAAGCACTGTACTCAGTGAACTGGTACATTCAAGTGGGCCTACAAGTGGGCACGATTTGGGAAAGGGGAAATTTGAGCATATTATGTAGGCCCCTAGACTATATTGTGAAAGTGTTATTTGTCACCAAAATATACGAGTGAGATATAAAAAATGCATATTGGTATGCATATTGGCGCATCCTGACGCTAATGCGTAAGCAGGGCCGGCGGAGCGACTTCCAAAGTGGAAGGCACCAACAAAAAAGGGCACCTATCTTCACCTACAAAGCGAAATCTCAAAGTGAAAATATACATTTTTTTTAGACATTGGTAATGGTATAGGGCCTATAGTACCCCTATATTGTGATTCCATTATCCAGGCCTGATAAAAACCTGATTTAAATCGGTTTCCTGATTTTTTTTTCCTGATTTGATCCCGATTTTCCTGATTTTTCCCTTATCTTCTCTATTTTCCCCTATTATTTCCCAATTTTTCTTACTCAAAGGGGGGGGGGGGGGGATGTTGCCATTTTCCCCCCCGAACCCTCTTTTTTTTACTCAAGGGAGGCGTGGTTATCAGGGACGATTTCAATATTTGTTTTTCTTTATATATTATACAAGATTTTGCTTAAAGACCATCAATACTACTTGGCCAGAGGGGATTAGACCACACAGCGAGGTCACTGACAGGTGGCTATCTCATTAACTCAGCTCTCAACTAACATAAGAAAAAGAGGTTCATGGGGGATCAACAGGCACCGATTGGGAAAGTTTTCTATATATAGAGGGAGCAAGTAGCTACAAGTAGGACAGTGGGGCTTTAAACTAAAATGGGCTAAAAAATGAAGAAAAAGACATGTAGAATAACTTTTGCAAGAGATTCCGAACATGAAAATGATTTTTGTCTCGCCTGCGTAGCAAAAAAGCGAGACATACTGTAGGCGCCACTTTTCCGGTGACGGCGGCGGCGGCGGCGATGGCGGCGTCAAAAACTTAACCTAAGGTTAAGTTTTTGAATTTTTGATATAATTTTTAAAGTATAGCTTCTTAGTCAATGAAACTTTGACCATAGGGTAATCAAGTTTCCCCAATCATGTGAGTAGAATTTCAGATCACAAAGTCAAGGTCAAAGGTCATTTCAAGTCAACAGACTTGGACTATGTTGTAGCATCATCATCAAAAACTTAACCTACTTGTAAGGTTAAGTTTTTGAATTTTTGATATAATTTTGAAAGTATAAGTTCTTAGTCAATGAAACTTGGACTTATAGGGTTATCAAGTCTCCCCAATCATGTGAGTAGAATTTCATGGATATGGAAAAAGTTAACCAAATAACTGTGATCCGCAGACCTTCCTGATATTGGTTAAAATAAAGCTTTAAAAAGAAAAGATAGACGAGGAGAAGAAAAATGGAGAAAGAAGGGAGAAAAAAAAAAAAAAAGAAAAAGAAAAAATATAAGAAAGAGAGAGAGAGAGAAAAAAAAAATTGTGATTTCATGACAGATTTAGTAACATATTATTATTGTTAATCATTAACCATCACGTTGTAAAAAATAAATATAATATCATTATCATTATCATTATTAACATTATTACTACTATCGTAACTATCATGATTATTTTGATTATTATAATTTATATCGTTGACATCAATATTTATATTAAAACATCAACAAAAATTAATTTTCATTGAGAACACAATTTCAACAACAACCAGTCTCGAAGCTATTGCACGATCATAATATGTACAGATAAAGGTACATGTAAGCCCTATATCATGTTTATGAAAATTCAGTAATACAATTTTGGAATGGTTTGGAATGGTTAAAATGGACTGTGTATTATTTCAAGTACATATCATTATTGTTTCATATTATATAATGAGAAATGGAACAAATTTTATACGGTATACATCTCAGGCGGTTATTATGTGAAGTCTTGTTTATAGAATTGAAGAATTATTTATATTCTATAAATGACTATAAACTGCAGCAATTAAACAACTAGCAATAAGAGAGCATAAACAGCATTAAAAGATCACACTGTTACAAATATGTATAAGCATATTCGTCATTATTATCAACATCATTTATATTATTGTTATTGCAATCATTATTATTGCTACGATTATATCATATAACTGTTACAATCATTATTATAATAATAAATGTATGATACAACATGAATAAATACGTAATCATATGTACAGATTTACAAGCCAGAGTTCCACAACTTCAAGTGGGAGCACCAAGTGCCAATTTGAGTCAATAGTACATCGTTACGAATATGTTGAGGAAGTGTGTCCCACAATCCGGGAAATGAGTTAATGGCTGACAAACGCAGTCTTTCAGTTCGAGCGGTACTATACCTTGGGTTTACATTTATGGCGCTGTTTACACTATCGCAGGATACATACATAAATAAACATTTAATAATGAATGTGATCAAAGTGTACTTCCGACGAGACTCAAGAGATGACCAGCGGAGGCGTCGCAACCTTTCCTCGTATGACATTTCCATTCTTCTTTGTTTAAGAATAATACGGGTCGCTCTACGTTGAATACCTTCAATCTTACCGATTAAATTTTTCATATACGGGGTCCAAACGGGTAGACCATACTTGATTATGGGTAGAATAAGAGCTTTGTACAGACAAAGTGTAGCGTGGGAAGAGAGACCGGATGAAACACTAGAAAGCAGCCCGAGGAGCCGGTTGGCTCGTGAGACAATGTAGTTGACGTGACTATCCCAAGATAAGCGATTATTTATTATGACACCTAAATATTTGGTCTCAGTTACTACATCAAGAAGAACGCTATTGATGCTGTACTCGGGAATACCTGGATTCTTAGCCGTGATATCCTCATGACTTTAGATTTTGATTTTGATTTTTCATATGATAGGGCTAGAAGGGGGATTTAAAACTTCTACACAGAATCGTGAAATTCATTACGGTATCTATGCTAATTTATGCAAATTTATTCGAAATCACAAAAAATGCTTCTTCTCTTTCATTTCTCAACCGATTTTGATTTGGTTTGCCTTATCTGGTAGAGCTAAATTTGGAACACTAAACTTCTACATAGAATTTTGAAATTGTTCTCCATTAATTAATTATGGTAATTTATGCAAATTTATTCAAAAAATAACAAAAATTGCTTCTTCTCCCTCATTTCTTGACTGATTTTGATTTGGTTTGCCTTATCTGGTAGAGCTAAATTTGGAACACGTAACTTCTACACAGAATTTTGAGATTTTGCTCCATTGATTATTTATGGTACTTTATGCAAATGAAATGAAATTATGTCCCTTCCAGGGCATCAAATTTTTATTTTTTGACCAGTTTAAAAGTGTACCACATAAAATTTACGATATTTGTTGTTGCGAGATGCGGATTAGCGCTACGTTATTGACGTTCTGGTTTATCATATTGAATTGTGTTATGCAGGCGAGAGCGTTTCCCTTGTTCTTAGAAATCATCAATAATTCTGGAATCTAGCTTTAAAAATGACGACTCAGAATGCTCAGTAAAAGGCCCAGTTTCAGAGCTGTATTGCGCAATAGCATATGACGTAACTGCAGGAGCCTCTCCCGGTGAAATGGAAGGTGATTTAGGCATTAAAATGTCTTTAAAAAGGAAAACTATGATATTAATTGGGAAAAAAAACATTTATCCGAAGAAATAATATGCACTTGATAATCCCAGTAAGTTTCTGGCAATATCTTTATTCCTAATGTAAGATCTTTAGTTATAGGACAAATCGGACATGCCCGCAATGACGTCAAATGAGTAATCAAGGCCACGTGACCGTATAACCTTTTTTCGAGGGGCGTAGCCCAGGCAAGCGTGAGAACTGAAAAATGGATGGTTATTATCATTTTTTGGTCAATTTAGAGATTTTCTGAAAAATAAGAGGCTGGAATATTAAAGTAGAGGTGTATTCATGCTTTGAAAGGGTATGTTAGTTGGGTTAGAGTGGCCCTTTAAGCATCGCACTTTGCAGCTGGGTGTGATGGTCTGAATATTCATTTGCGAGCGAGAAAAAAAGTAAAAGCAGGGTACCGTGAGTAAAAATGTTTCCCAGAGCTCTCAATCATACACTGTCAACTCACCACTCAGAAACTAGGACCAAACTAGCTGCCAATGTCCAGATTTCTGTTTGAACTTGGAGGAT